GTTGGCTAGGTTGATGGAGACTCAGATATGTCTCCCACCTATCAGCTCTGTGTGGGGAGGCTCCAAAAAAGGAACGATGGCCTCTGTCAGCACTTCTGTCTGGGAGAAAGATGCCCTTCCAGCCCTCACCCTGATGCCAGACAATTTAGTTCCTCCACATATGTCCCTAGCACCTTTTGGGCTGCTGCCCCAGCACTGGAGTTTGGAGCAAATGAGTCTGAGTAAGTTCATGTGTGGGCCCTTTAAGAGGAACATCTGGGACTCCAGAAGACCTCCATCTCACTCAGTCACAATCTTCACTGATTTTCACAGTCAGAAAATTAAGGGAACTTCTTTTCCTGGCACTGGATCCCTGGGCTGGGAGCCTGGGTGGGGTTTGGACCCCTTGCTCCTTATGCGGGACCTCCACAGCTGAGATAGCCCTCCTGATTTTTATCTGCTCATGTGGGTATGGGACCTGCCTGTTCTTGTCTCTGACCCTCCTACCAGTCTCAATGTGGCTGCTTCTTTATAGCCTTAGTTATAGGACTTCTGTTCAGCTAGATTTCAGACAGTTCTGAGTGATGGTTGTGTAGTTGTAATTTTGATGTGGTTGTGGGAAGATTTGAGTACCACATTTACCTACACCACCATCTTGACCAGAATACCTCTTTTTTTGCCCATCATATGCCTGGTTATTAAAGATAGAATATCAGTCATTATATATGAAAAACTGTGGAGGTTTTAATCCTAGGCTGTTATTACCTCCTTTTAGAAGACTTTCTTGTGGTAGGTGGGTGGTCACACTCGCAATCCCGGGTCACCTAAACTCAGTGAGTGATGGGATATTTGAGGCTGGGCTTTCATCCTGTGAGTCTCTGGTCTCTTTCCAGTTCACCCTTACTTCTAGGGTGTAACTTCTCAGGCACTCCAATCAGAGCATTGGACATTTGTTAGATTCTCCATCCCTGGCAGACCCTAAATTCCTTTATTTTTCCCTTGTTAGTTTATTGAGAGTTTATTTCAACTTCTCATCATCTTAGCCACCTTTTACAAAATTGGTAGGCTATGTCTGAAAAAATGGGCCCTCTTGTCCTGAACTTGTCTCACTGCATGCCTGTGATATTGTGATTTTACGGTATATTTGGTCTTTATCCCCATTCCTAAAATCCTTGGAATTTGTTAAAGAATAAGAGTAACAAAGGTAAAAGGAGTATCTTTTGTTTTCATAACAAGCTCCTTTGAACTACATATGAATTTATGTTAATGAGATGAGATGACTTGGAAAACCCCTGAAAGTGGGGAGCTCTGATTGCTGGACTAGCCAGTCAGTTGCATTACTGGAGTTGGACCATTCAACCTCATCTCTTTACTTCTGGAAGAGGGAGGGGTTGGGGATTGAATTAATCACCAGAGTTCAGTGATTAAATCGGCGATCTGTACAAAGGGAAGCCTCCATAAAAATCCTCACTGAAGGGGTTTTGAGAGCTTCTGGGTTGGTGAACATGGGGAGATGCTGGGAGGGCGGTCTTCCCAGGGAGGGCACGGAAGAAGCTGAGTGTCATTGCTACGTGCCTTTCCTTAGGCATCTTTTCCAGCTGGCTGTTCCTGAGTTTTTTTCTTTTATAATAAACTGATAACCTAGTATGTAATGTGTTTTCCTGAGTTCTGAGAGCCATTCCAGCAAATTATCAAGGAGTGGGTTGTGGAACCCCCAATTTGTAACCAGTCAGTAAGAAGCATAGATGACAATCTGGACTTGAGATTTGGGTCTTAAGTAATGTGGGGAAGAGCAGAGTTACGGGACTGGGGCCTTACTTGTGGGATTCCAGGTGGTTAGCATCAAAATTGAGTTAAATTGCAGGGTACCTAGTCAGTGTCCTGAGAGTTGGAGACTTGCTATGTGTGAAAAACACATAGACATCAGAAGTGCTGGTGAGTAGTGAGTAGAGACAGGAATGTTTTTCTTACAGTTCCTTTCTTCCATAACATAGCCCCTTGATTCTTCATGATTTTGTTAGCTCTTTGATGCCTTTAGAGGATTTTTGTTTCATATTTTGTCCTTTTTTTTTAATTCTCACCATAGAGTTGGTCACCTGCCATTATTAGCAAAAGTAGAACATCTGTTTTGATTTTTACTTTATGGTTTTCTTCAGCAACTTATGAAAATGACTAAATGTTTGGTTAACAGTCCTTTCCTTAGTTTTTCACTCACTCGCTTAACTAAGAAAATGTTTAATATTTATTATATGTAAGCCACTATGTTACATGTTTAGTGAAGATGCAAAAATGCATCAGACACTCATTCTGCCTTCATGGAACTTAACCTAGTTGGGTAGAGGAGGATAATCATGTAAGATATCTCTCTCTAGAGAGAGAGCGAGAGAGAAATAAATGTAGATAGATAGATAGGTATAGATATAAAAACTTCAAGTGTGTAAGAGAAGTGTATAGGTCAAGTGCTGCACTGACTTATAGAGATGCATTCCTCCCATTTCAAAGGATGAGGTGAGGCTATGGAGAAAAAAGAGGCTTTGCACTGGGTTTTTATCTCTAACTGAATCCTGCATTGGCTAAAAACATGTATCGGTCATTCTTTCTGGCTGGTGACTTTTAGCCATGTTGTGCGAAGATGAAAGTAATTCTGATACAGTGCTGACTATATTCCCACATATTGAGAAAATTCAAAGTAAAATCCCATAAAAATTAATTTTCAGCCCAGCTGGTGTGGCTCAGTGGATTGAGCGCTGACCTGTGAATGAAAGGGTCGTTGGTTCAATTCCCATTCGGGGCAGATGCTTGGGTTGCCAGCTTTCCTAGTGTGGGCCGTGTGAGAGGCAACCACGCATTAATGTTTCTCTCTCTTTCTCCCTCGCTTCCCCTCTGTCTAAAAATAAATGAATAAAATATTTAAAAACTTAATTTTTGGAGAACCAGGTGGAATTTTTTTCTCTTTGATGTAACAATTGTGTGACCATGTTTTAAACTTTGGTTTATTAACATTCATTTTTCATGTGCTGTTTTAAGAGACTTGTAAATAAACTTATGTCAAGGTCTAATTTATATACAGTTGGACCCACCCAAATATATGCTCCCATGTACACCACCACAGTCAAGATGAGGAACATTTCCACCCCCGCCCTAGATTTTCTTAGTCCCCTTCCCAGTTCTCTCTCCCTCCTCTGGCCCCAGTCAACTATTAATTTGCTTTTGCCACTATTGATTAATCTTTTTTAGAACTTCATATAAATGGAAGCATAATACACATTTTATATTTGGCTCCTTTTGCCTAGAATGTTATTGAGATGCATTGATGTTGGGGTATATATCCATAATTTGTTCTTCTTTATATGTATGACTGTCATGATTTGTTTGTACTGTCCACATAGGTTTATTTTTAAACTTGGCAGGTGCACATAGCTAATAATTTATTTAGTGTGTATTGATTACTCATCTTTGGAACTGAGATACATTAATGTCTTGAATTCTAAATTTATAATGCTATAAAAATTGATTTTGAAGAGGTAGACCTCATTACCTACATAATTATGCCAGTATAATATGCCACTGTGATACAGGTGTTCGTATCATGCATAACATTTTGTTGTACACATGTTCTTATAGACTCCTTCAAAAGGTAGGCTAAGGAATGCTGCTAATGGGATCATTTAAAATCTTGTGATAACTACTGTGACTATGTAGTTTAAATATAAATAGTCAAAATTATAGTTTATATTATTGTCTTTAGACTAAAGAATTTGGGTTTTAACTGTTTTCAACTTTAGTATTTGACATTTTAACACTTTTAGAAAAAAATTTTCATAAAATTTAACATATAGTTCATGCTTTTAAAAATATGACTATATTATGATTTATTTCTATACCTTATGATATTCTTTGAAAAGGTAGTAATATTTTCCTTTGGAACTGGATTTCTCTTCCATTATCAATTTAACACATTATATTCTTTCATAAAGGATGGGTTTTCATATTTTTTTAGGACTACAAAATTTTCCTCCTGTAGGGTTTATTTGCCTTTTTTAAAACAAACCAAATTTGCACATAAAATTTCTTATGAACACTAAGCTACCTTATCTCATCTAGTATACTTCTGGTATTTTAATTCCTAAAATACTGATTTAAATTTTAGTAGCTATCCCTTTTGTCATGTTATTGAAAACATATGTAAAATTTTCTAGCCCTTGCTGGTGCAGTTCAGTGGATTGAGCTCTGGCCTGTGAACTGAAAAGTCATGGGTTCAATCCCCAGTCAGGGCGCATGCCTGGGTTGTGGGCCAGGTCCCCACTTGGGTGTGTGTGAGAAGCAATCCATCAATGTTTCTCTTGCACATTGATGTTTCTCTCCCTCTTTTTCTCCCTCCCTTCCCCTGTTTCTAAAAGTAAATAAATAAAATCTTTAAATTTTTCTTTTTTTTAAATTAATTTTATTTAGTTATTTTTCAAGTACAGTTTTTTTGTCTATTTCTCCTCTTTAAAATTTTCTAATAGAGTTCAGTGTTTAAGAGTCTAGGCTCTGGATTCAATTATTTGAGTTTGAATTCCTATTCTGCCATTTCTTAGCTGTGAAACTTGGGACAAGTTTAAAATCAGTTCCTCTTGTACAAATTTAGGAGATAATTTAGAGTTCTTAACACAATGACTGAACTAAATACATGCTTGTTGAATTAATGAATAAAGGTTTGTTCTCTGTTGTATATAACCTGCAGTCATCTTTGTAAAAACTTGATATTAATGTCAATTTGGGATTCTGCTCTAAATTCCAGATGACTTAGGCAGTAACTTCCTGACTACAGTCATAACTTAATGAATACTATTAGTGACTGTGTGATATGCTAATGATAAAGGCATTCTTTAGATTGTGTACCATTCTGTTTTTGTTAGTGCAGACTCGGATGCTATTCACAGTTATTGGATATGTTGGGCAGGGAGGAGGACACAGCAGGATCTGAGTTCTATGTGAATACTCTGCATTCTTTTCTTTTCTTTTAATGTATCAATTAGTCCCTGAACCACAGCTGCTTGATACAGAAGATTGCGACCTCAATGTGGTGAGATTATGTTTTCAAGTTTTCCTCTACGATGAACATGGTAATTTGACGACCACTCTACCTCCTGCTGTCTCTAACCCTATTTATGACAACCGTAAGTACTTTATATTCTTGTGTTTGTAGCCTTAGCTTGTTTTTTTATAGTTTAATTTTTTTTAATTATTTCAGTAATTAGAAAAACTATGTTTATGACAGGAAAAATGCAAACATTCCTAAAATAACAAGAGTTAGTGACTCCTATAGTCAATCTCTTCTCGTTTCATTCTCCAAAGATAGTCACTGTCCTCTGGTACATATTTTACCAGTTTCTTCTTTGTATATATACATACACAAATACATCATCGTCATTGTTGTCATTATTATCCACACAGTATATTTTTGGCAACTTTAAAAAAATTATCACTAATCTTTCTTTTTTTAAACTTTTTTCCCCTCTTAGCAATGTATCTTGAATCTCTTTCCCCTTCAGACACCTTATTCATTTCAGTAGCTGCATAATGCCTTCTATGGCTGTATCATAATTTTATTAAATCATTACCCTATTACGAGGCATTTGGTTTGGTGTTTTTTTTTTTGCTGTAACACATTTTACTGCAATAAATATCCCATATTTGCATATCTTGTACAAATAGGTCTCTATCATAAATTTGCAGAAGTAGAATGTTGGGAAGTGCTAGATCAAAGGATACAGATACTTGAGGTTTTTAAAGATTATGAAAATGCCCTCACATTATGCATGTGTGTGTTTACTCTTATAAATGATCACCAGTGGTATATGCTATCCCTGTTTTGCCTGTAGAAGGATAGTAAGACATCGGGTTATAAAGGTAGATTAGAGTGTTCTTTTCATGGAGTGCCTTGAATGCCAGGGAGAGTTACTGGATTATTGCCCAGATAACAGGAAGTATGAAAATCAAATTGCCTTAGGGTTATGGCCATAATTTAAGAAGATTAATTTGGTAACAGTATGTAGGTTGGATTGAAAGAATCAGAATTGAGAAGCATCAAGATTCATTGCCTAGAAATGAAGTCACTCTAAACCAGGTTAGACAATGCAGTTAGAAAGGAAAAGAACAGATGTGGATGATTAATGTATTTAGTGTTCTTAATGTACTTACACGTTAAAGTTTTTTAAATCTATTCTATGAATGGGTTTCCCAAAATTCTCTACTTCAAAAAGAAATAAAATATATTATTAAGGTAGCAACTCATTAAAAAAATTCTTCATACTTAGGTGCTCCTAATACTGCAGAGTTAAGGATTTGTCGTGTAAACAAGAACTGTGGAAGTGTCAGAGGAGGAGATGAAATATTTCTACTCTGTGACAAAGTTCAGAAAGGTATTTATCTGTTTTTTTGTTTGTTTCATAGAATTCAGGATATATTGTAAATTACTAGATATATTGTACTTTGTTTTCCTATTGATAGTTCTTTGCTTTCATATTCACTAGACGACATAGAAGTTCGGTTTGTGCTGAATGACTGGGAAGCAAAAGGTATCTTTTCACAAGCTGATGTCCACCGTCAAGTAGCCATTGTTTTCAAGACCCCACCATATTGCAAAGCCATAACAGAACCAGTAACGGTAAAAATGCAGCTGCGGAGACCTTCTGATCAGGAAGTCAGTGAATCTATGGATTTTAGATATCTGCCAGATGAAAAAGGTGGGACTTCTTCGTGGTAATGTTTTATAAATTTCTTAAAATTAGTTCTGCTAATAACATTTTTGTAGGATACATTGTTACATTTTCTTCATAATTTACATTTCTTCTCCTGACAGTTTTCAGTTGATTTTTCAACCAGTTGATCTTTATGCTTTTTGTAGCTCTTTCTTAGGAAAAGAATCTGTAATAATTTTAAAATGTCTAAATCATTTACCAAAATTTGTCTTATATTTGGGGGGGGTTGGGTCTTTATCGTGCCCTTTTTATAGATAACAAACTTGCCAATCAGAGAGTGGTCACCATTTTGTTCCTTTACTGCCCTTACTGCTTAGTTGATATTGTTGGCTTATAGAGGTTAATATCAAAACTATTTTTATTAAGAGAAAAATGTCTTTTACCATGGCTTAGGATACTCTGCAACACTTATTAAATCCATATTATGTACACTTATTTAAAGCATTTTTTATATAGGAATAAAACACTTTCTTTATTAAAGGAGAAGTAACATGATGATCCATTCACATGCTTTTCTGTTTTTTTTCTAACCAGATACTTATGGAAATAAAGCAAAGAAACAAAAAACAAGTATACTTTTCCAGAAACTGTGGCAAGATTGTGGTAAGAATGTTTTGGATTGATTCATATTTAAATAGGTTTTGTGGGATATTTTTTCGTTATAAAATTTTTCAAATTTTACCTGATAATGTTACTTTTCAAATTACACTTAATAATGGAAAAACTTTATCACAGCAGTTAATTTTCCTGAGAGACCCAGACCTGATTCCCTAGGACCAACTGGAGAAGGAAGATTCATTAAAAAAGGTATTTTATTCCCTAAAGAATATTCCTTGTGATCAGAAAGATATTGGAATTCCATTCTTAGGAATAAAACTTCTTCTTTGATATTTTCTACTCCTATGTATTTTTTCATGCTTTGAATATTGAATAAATTGATCTTGGCTTCCAGAGGTCATATTGGAAACTGGTTTTGTGGAGTTGTTGTTTAAGAAATTACATTTTGTTCATATGGTGATAATTTTACTAATTATACTATGTCAAGCGAGAAATGTTTTAGATCTGGCCAGTAGCTTGTGTATGTAAGGAGTTGTGTTGGAACATAGTCATGTTCATCTGATTGCAGATTGTCTGTGGCTGCTTTTTGCCACCACAGTGGCAGAGTCAAGTAGTTCCAACAGAGGCCACAAAGCCTAAAATATTTATATCTGGCCCTTTATTTAGAAAAAAAGTTGCCAACTTCAACCAGGGTTAATTAGAAGTCTTTTTCATATTACATTCTGAATCAGTACTGATTTTTCCTGGGTTAGTATGTATAACAATGTAAATAAATAATGTGTAAATAAACAACCATAATTTTTTTGACTGGAAATGTATAGTACATTAATGTTATATCTTAATACAGCTTAGAAAGTTAGGTAGTGGACTTTCGATTATCCCTAATGAGTTTCTCCATTGCTCCATTTTTTTCTTAAAAGTGGAGAAATGAAGTGATTTTGGGTTATTTAGAGTTCCACTAACTGAAATTCTGATATTCATCTTTCATTTTTCAAAAATACCTTCATAGGCCCTGGCTGGTATAGCTCAGTGGATTGAGTGCGGGCCTGTGAACCAAAGGATCGCGGTTCGACTCCCAGTCAGGGCACATGCCTAGGTTGCAGGCCAGTTCCCAGCAAGGGACTCACGAGAGGCAACCGTACATTGATATTTCTCTCCTTCTCTCCTTCCCTTCCCCTCTAAAGATAAATAAATAAAATCTAAAAAAAAAAAATACCTTCATAGGACCTCAAAAGATAGATTTTCAGATTTAACTGGAGTGAACTTATATATGCCAAAATAACAGCAAAATTATTTATAGGTATTTGTAAAACAGTAAGTGTCACAAAATTCAGTTTTGGACTCATGTAATAATTTTAGTGCTATTTAACATTTTATTTGAAATGCTACTCAGTTTCCTTAAATTGTCTTTATTAACATGTTTGTACAGTTTCTAGAAATAGTACTTTTTCTAATTTTGTTCATTTCAGTTTTGTAAAAATATATTTCCCCTCCCCCACAGAATCCAACTTGTTTTCTCATGGCGCAGCTTTGGCAGAAATGCCCAGGCCTTCAGGAGTTTCCAGTCAAGCAGAACCCTACTATTCCCCGAATGTACCCATGTCCGGTGCACTGCCACATCATCCTTCAGCCATACCCACAATGGTGCCTCATTCTTCTTCAAGCTGGTCCTCTGTGGCTCACCCCACCTCATGCTCAGTCAATACAAATCCAATGAGTAGTTTTTCAACAGGGACACTTCCCTCTAATTCACAGGGTATCCCACCATTCCTGGAAATGTCTCTTGCGAATGAGTTGAATGCGTCTAATCCTTGCCTTTATAACAGTACCAACAACATAGGCAGAATGGAAACGTCACCTATGTCATCAGCTGACTTATATGGTATTTCTGATGCCAACATGCTGCCTAACTGCCATGTGAATATGATGACGCCCAGTAATGACAGCATTAGGGAGACCGATAATCCAAGACTTGTGAGCATGAACATTGACAGCCCCTCGTGTAACTCAGTGTTAGACCCAAGAGACTTGAGACAGCTCCATCCGATGTCCTCTTCCGGCCTGTCAGCAGGCGGCAGTTCCAGTGCTGCTGCGTTTGTTTCACAGTCGGATGCATTTGAGGGATCTAATTTCAGTTGTACAAATAACAGCATGATAAATGAGTCGGGGTCTTCAAACGGTACTAATGCAAACAGCCATGGTTTCGTTCAAAGTCAGTATTCAGCTATTGGCACTATGCAGAATGAGCAGTTGAGCAACTCATTTGAATTAGACTTTTTCTCCAGTTAATTTGTAAGATTTAAATAGTGATTCAAGATTTAAATCCTTTTACATGTTTGCAGCCATTTTAACATTACCTGCATAGATGCAGTATTTTATATTTCTCTGGCCAAGACTATAACACCGGAGGATTTGATTTTCACGTTATAATGCAGAATTTTCTTGATTAGGAAGAAGTGTAAAACTTTGGGTGTATAAGAGAGTTTTTTTTACAGTGTTGGCTGTAGAGCTCCTAAAATTTTTCAGGATGTAAATAAAAGATGAATCTTCAGTACTGAAGCTGCCACTGAGAGGGATGAACTCATTTTCCAATTTCAAGAAGAGCTGGAGAAAGTTCATCATTTACAGATGACTCTTGCTTCAAGAATGTAGATTAATCCACACAAACTGAACTTCCAGGCTACGATGCAGTGTGGAATCCTCTGTGCACTGCAGGTTTATATAAACTAGTGCACATTTCAGCCTACACACACCCATTATAGACCGTAGGAAGTGTGTAATGAATCTGTGACGTGTTACATGTTGAATAAAATCAGTTTTATTAAAAAAAATTTTTTGAGTATGTAAAATACAAAGTTGGAAACTGCCAGAAAGGGAGCTTTCCAAAACAGAAATTTAACAGGGCTTTAGTATTTTCTTCTTTTGAAACGTGACAAGAATTCTGTCTTTAGAGTTTCACCATGTTTCCTCAGAACAAAGTGAAGAGGACATTCTTCACTCTTAAAAAAGCTAAAAATATGCTTTTTTATATTTCTTTTGTAATGTATTAATGTATTCTTAGTTAAATGAATTGAAATTTGCTTTTGAGCAAATTTAAGGTAAAACTTGTAATGGCTATGTCATTGAAAAAATAAACTCCTTGTTATTTTTGAGGTGCATGGGCTAAGGTGACCCCTAAGGGGTTTTTCTGAGGCTTTTTGGAGTTTCTTAGATTTATATGTAAATCAATTTTTTTTAAATGCTAAGTTGTATCAAGGCCCTTTCCAGGTATGGTAGGGTCTCTGCTTTTAGACTATTTAAATCCATACTTTTAAAATTGCTGATGATTTTTGTTTTCCACCCATGTTTTTAAGGGGAAGAAATTTCCTTGGACCTCTTCTCTCTCTTTTTTCTTCATGGGAATCCTAAAGCCAACCTTTATTTTGGATTTCTACAGCACAGTATAATACACTTGAACTCTGAAATATGGTTTGAATATATATATGCGAGCAAATTTATAACCCTGTAATCAAAGGAGATAGTTTTAAAAAATAAAATTAAATATATCAATCAATGTTCCTATTGATTTAATATTCTTATACAAGATTCTCTTAGAAAAGGGGTTTTTAAGCATTTTTAAATTTAATTATTGTTCAAGTACAGTTTTCTGTCTTTTACTCCCATCCCAGCCCACCCCCCCAGTGCTCCCCACCTCCCTCCCATGTGTCCTTTATACTTGTTCCTGTGAAGCCCTCCCCTTTTCCCCTGAAATTCTCTCCCCTCTCCCCTCTCCCCTCTGGTCCCTGTCAGCCTGTTCTCTATTTCAGTGTCTTTGGTTATATTTTGTTTGCTTGTTTGTTTTGTTGTGTAGCTTCCTGCTAAAGATGAGATCATATGGTATTTGTCTTTCACCGCCTGGCTCATTTCACTCAGCATAATGCTTTCTTATGTGTCCTCACTCACTGTGATCTCACCCAGTTTCATGCTGTCAACTCTGAAATTTTATTTCCAGTGTAGACCTGTCCTCCGAACTCCAGATTTGGAGTTTACCCGTGTGTGAAACTGCTTGTTTGGCATCTGTACCTAGAAATCTAATCTAAGCTTAAACTCAACATATCCTTGATCTTCCCTTCCAAACTTGCTTCTCTTTCAATCTCCCCCAACTTAGTAAATGGCAGTGCCATGCTTCTGGTTGCTGAGGTCCAAAACCATGGAGTCAGCCTTGATTCTTTTTTTCTGTTATCTCCCATATCTTAATCTACTAGCAAATCTGGTAGGTTCTACCTTCAAGAATATATCCAAAGCTGACCACCTCTTCTGACCTCTACTATTAACAACCTGTTCCAAGCCACCATCATCTCTTGCCTGGATTAAAGCTATATCCTCCAAAAACCCTCTTTACATCCTTGTACCCTAATAGTGTGTTCTCCCTAAAGTAGCCTGAATGATTATATGTAAGCCAAGTCAAATCCTTGCATTCAATTGGTCAAAACTATCCAGTGGCTCCCCATCTCAGAGTCAAGACCAAAGTCCTTAATATTAGCAGGCCCTCACTCCCTCTCCTACCTCATCTGCTCCCATTTTCCCCTCTTCATTCAGCTCCAGGTACCCTGACTTCAGTGCTCCTCTTCAAAAACACCAAGTATACCCCTGCTTCGGAGTCTTCATACTTGGTGTTCTTTCTGCCTGAGTGGTTTTCTGTCAGGCGTGTGCAGAGCTCACTCCGTACATCCTTCATTCTCACGCAGCTGTTACCTGATCAAAGCCTTCCTTGACACTATGTATATCAGGATTCCATGTCCCCCCTCCTTTATATTTTCCGTAATACTTACCTAAGCATTCATTTGTTTATTATTTGTTTTCTTACACTGAAATATAAGCTTCATGAGGGCAGGAATATTTGTTGAATATAGTTTGTAGAACAGTGTCTGCCTGATATTCAATAATTGGTAAATATTTATTGAACATTTAAAGTAGTAATGATACAGCTTTGATTTTTGAAATAAAGAATAGCTTTAATTACTAGATGTTCATGATTTTTATAGTTCTGTTTAATTGGGTTTATGTCAGAATCACACATTCAAGACAAGGATTAATAATGGTAATTCGAACTGTTGAGAAGCAAAGTAATCCCAGTAGAAAAATGATGGTGGAATTTGGGCAAAATCTTAATTGTGATGGAATTGTCTTGATGCTAAGTAACTTATTAAAGACCTACTTTATTTTACAATAGAACCTACCATAAATTTTAAGCATATTCTCAGCTAGGAACATGGCATTTCACTTATATAGCATCCAACCAAACCATAAATTTACTGGAACAATTAAAACTAGTTAATTTGGTCAAAATAGGGAATGCATGAATGTCATATAAATAAAAATTCTGAGTTGAATGATACTGGGAAATGGAAGGAAACCAAGATAAGATTTGAGATCAGAATATTTAGGGAGCAAAAGAAAAAGATTAAAGATTAAAAAGAATAAAGCCAAGTATTGTTATTGTTTCTCAGAAATTATGATTTCCAAATGAAACACTTCTGTTACATAATTTTCAAAATCATAAGCACACCACATACTTCAGTAGAACTTACCAAGGAGAAAGAAAAATCTGGACATAATTTTCTGCCTGTTCAAAACATGAACCTAAGATATTTTCAGATAGTGGTTAATAGGTGGTACACTTTTAAAAAAATACAGAATCCTATTTTATATTAATTTAGCATCAACTAGTTAAACAGTTAGAAAATCTAAATGGGTTTTTTAAATTAGATGAGCAATTGACTTGCAGTTTTTGTGTGTAAACCAAAGTAAGGTAGTGCTACATCTGTGATGAAATGTATTTTTCCTAGAATTTATTTTATAACTTAAAAAGATACTGACTGCTTCTTCTGTACCTCTAAGTGTGTTTACACTTTCACATGTTCTTGTAACATCCCACTCTTAGTTTCTGAGGAAAAGGTGGACCTTGTGCCTTTCTAAACTCTGCTTATATACTAGACTCCCTCCCCCGCTTTCTCTTCCATCCCTTCTCTTGTTTCCTTATCCTCACATCAGCATTTAGTGTCTTTTTTTGTATTAACATGGTAAACATCTTTTCTGGCTTGAAGGGAAAAACCCTCTTCTGCCATCCTCACACCCCTTTCCCTCAAGACTTACAAAGTGCTTTCAGTCTCCATTTCTTCACTCCCAGTCATTTTTACCCCATCATCTCTCTCTTTGCCTCCTATAATTTTCTTATGATATTCTGGGAAAAGTAACCAGCGACACCCTCCCTTGTTAAATTTTTTCTGCTTGAACCATCTGTAACCTTCCATCCCATTGACCATTCCCTCCTCGGACATCCTCCGCGGTTCCTGTGGTAGACAAGACTCTTCTCTGGGGTTGACTCCCCCCGCCCAATCTCAACCAGGCTGCAGTTGGTGCTGTCTTTCCCCCAGGGTGACTTTATCAATGCCCGCAGCTTCAGCCTTCTCTCACGCGATCTGAATATCTTTATGACTGGCTCCTCCTTTTGCATCTTCTTTCACTCATGGCATTACCATTTACCCTGCCATCCATGATATTTAAAAGCAACTTCACACGCATACTTTAGTCATCAAATCCTTTTAAATCTACCTTTAAAAAATCTCTTGCATTTGTCCCTCTATTCCTGCTAAGTTTAGTGTAAGCTTTCACTCTTCTCCCCCAACAAGAATGTTTTCTATATGCTCCAGTTAAAAATAACACTCCATTCTTTCTTATTCCCTATTACATAGTTGTCATTCCTCGAAAAAATTTTATCAGGCTGCTGGGCCTCCATGCTTTTAACACATTCCCCACTCCACCTGTGTTCTACAACCATGGCACCTAGTCTTTAAGGCTAGGCTTCTCCTCTGCAAAACTTGGTCCTGCCTGCCTTGTTGAGGTGCAGCTTTGTACACACCCCTGTTGCAGAACTCAGTGTTGAATTAAAGTCATTTGTCTCTTGTCTTTGGGACTTGTTCATCTATTAGCATAGTCCCTGGCATAATTGGTGCTGAATAAATGGTACTATTATTAGGGAGTTAAAGATGAAATTGACGTAGGAGTGAGTATAAAAATGTGGACAAGGATGTGGTTCTTAAAGGGAAAGGTACTTAACCTGAAAGGAAAAGCAGCGACGCAAAGATTACTGAGCTTGTGAAATAGTTCACCCTCTGCCTCCATATTGTCAACTGTATTAGGTAGAAATTTTACAGTTAGGATTGTTTTGTACGTCTGATCTGGCTGCTTCTCTCTACTGTAGGTGGCAGGGTTAATTTCGGTCCTCCCCACGTGCACTCACCCAGCACTGCACCCTTGCACAGACACTGGAGTATTCATGTAATCAATCATGTCACGTTTCTTACAGTCTGATGTGCAAAGCACCATGCTCGGTGCTTGCTGTGATATTCAGGTGAATAAGACAAAACTCTTTTTCTCAAAGATACGTCTTTTTTTGAGGGATAATATATGTAAAGTACATAAAGTGGACTGATTTTACAGCTTCAGGAATATTTACATCCATAATCATTTCCAGCACCCCAGAAGTTTCTTTCATGCCATTACCAATCTGTGTACTCCTCAAAACCCCTATTCTGATTTTTATCATTAATACCCTATCTTAATAGACTTTAAATCGGTAACTGGGTTTCTCTACTCACACCTGAACAGAAACCGCTGGAGTGTCATTCAGTAAACTAATACTTCAGGAAAACTAATTATGCTGTCCATGTTTTAAGAAAGACTTGGAATTGGTGGCCCAGGCTACCTAGTAGCACCAAATAAATTGTTACATCATGAGTTGATTTGTTGAGGGATTAAAGAAATTTCCATGGGATATTTCAATAGCATGGAGCAATGAAAAGGACAGGAAATTTTTAGTCAGTCATCTGGGTTTTAATCTTCAGCTGTGCTACTTAGAAGTTGTGTGATATTTAACAAATCACAACTTCTGTGGGCCTATGTCTTCGGATACAAAATTGCAGATGATACCCAGCCTACCTACCTCACCAGGCTTGTTGTACTGAATAAAATAATGCATAAGAAACACTGTAAATTGTATAGTGCTATCAAGTATTGTTAATAAACCATCTGTATATGTCTTGTGGCCCTCATTAATCTCTAATCCAAGCACTCCTTCCAGTGGCAGAGTGAGAAAAATCACCATGGATTAGGCTTCCATAGTAGGAATCCTGAAATAGGTTTCTCTTCAGAGTGGCCGGCTAGTGCCCAGGTGTGGAAGGCCATCGTTTGGCCTTCTTTCCAGAACCACTTCCTATTGTATAGCAAAGATAGGCCAGTTAATGACTCCCAATTCTGAAATTCTGTCTGTTAAATTTCTTAGCCAATGTTGATTATGAATCAATAGTAGTATGACTGTCTTCCAAAAAAAAAAAAGCCTCATTGTAGCTAATGAAGTTGTCACTGTAAGATGTCTTATCTATTTTCAGAGGTTGAATATGAAAGGGGCAAAATTGGGATTTTTATCACATATAATAGAAAATTTATAAGCCCATCTGAGATATGTATGAGTTGCCTATATCCAGTTTGATGCCTTTGTTTATTTAAGACTTAGTCAAATTAATATTTTAACTGATATATCTTGGCAGAATTTAGTTAAAACACAGGCTTAACATCAGTGGATAAGATTGAATCTCAAAAGTAATCTTGTCATTTTTTAATGCAAACCAAAGCTTATACCTACCTCCAAAGACTCTCCACCATGTCTGTTACCCTCATTAATAAATAAAATACAGATATAATTTATAGACAGTTATTTTTTTTCAATCCTAAATGTCTGTGGCTTCAGGAAAAAAATACTTCCTGCTAGTAATGATCTATTTAAAAGGAGTGGAATTTGTCATACTGTAATGTTCTAATCACCTGCTTCTACAAGTTGGTGCCTAACAAATCAAGTTTTTAGGGATATCAGCAGGTAAATAAAATAAAAATTGGTAAAAGTATCAAATATTCATCTTCCTTATTTTCCTCCTTGAACTTTATTGTCAAACCATTATAACTTTGTATAAAATGGACTAAGAATCAGGTCGGTTAGGGTCTTTGGGATCCGTTCGTGGAATTCAATCTCAGGAGACTTCACTGAAGACACACTTGATTTTACTGGGTCATTAGCTGAGAATATTGGTCACTGGCACACAGTTCAGGGAACTCAGGATGAAATGGCAAGGAAAACACAATCAAGTCCTTGGGTGAAGGGCATTGTTAAATACATGGTTCAGACCAGATGAACCCTTTAGAAATGATTTCTGTTTTAAAAGAATGTACTTAAAAATACTTTTAACTAGTGACTGTAGGTCCCTGTGGCATGGTACTATTACTGTATTTTTTGGACTGTTCTAGGTATGTTTATATATGCTTTTTAGTGACTAATGAATTTGGATGCACTGAAAAAAATTTTAAAGTTCTCAGGTACTGTTTAATTATTTAATTGCTAAGTGTGGTGTCAAGATGAAATTATTTTTAATAATTGACATTTTTAAAATGTCAATACCTTTTATTGTACAGAATGTTGCCTCTGTAATATCTTTGTAAACAGTGATTTTTTTTCTTGGTTATACAATAAATGGAAAATTTCTAAAAACCCTTACTAAAATGTTGTTGCTATTTGACTTTAAGTATATCAGAGAGCTCTGGCTGGTGTGGCTCAGTGGATGGGGTGCCAGCCTGTGAACCAGGGGGTCACCAGTTCTAGTCCCAGTTGGGGTGTATGCCTGGGGTGAGGCCACACCCCCGGTCAGGGGCACATGAAAGGCAGCCACACAGTGATGTTTCTCTTCCTCTCTGTTTCCCTGCCTTTCCCCCTCTCTAAAAAAATAAATTTAAAAATCATTAAAAAATATCAAAGAGATTTTCTTTGCATCTATAGCATCTTCCTCACTGAAAAAGCTACTTTTGGTTGCTTAGCAACACTAGGCATTTTAATGAAACTCTATAGCTGAATATATATATATAACTGGCAATATATATATTGGTAATATATAACTGTCCTTTGAAATGACAGATAGTTTTACAGAGTACTAAAATGCTTTTTGTAAAGGTTTTTATTTTCTGCCTTCCTGACTTATTTCCTGCCTGTTTCTCTTCCTCCCTGAATGACTGAGGACAAGCCATTCACTTATTCTGAGCAAGGTACAGTGGGCGAAGGTACTGGCCCAGTGTGGGATTACAGTGTGTGGAGCCCAAGGAGAACCTGTGAGGGTGGTAGGGAGGGGTGTCTCGGTGATCTGAAATGAGGGTGCAGTGACCGGTTATTTACGAGGGGGAATGATCTGTTAAGTTACTATAGTAAAGCTAATGGGAACCAGATTTCTCACTCTCAGAGAAATGATGAATGTGGAAAGGGAGAGAAAACTAGAGTAAGGTTGCAATTGGAAGTACTGGTATAGATAAAGCCATGAATCCACAAGAAGGAAAAGTTCTGCCTAATTGAGAACCTAGTTCTATGGAATGCCAACCAATAGTTAATTAGAAAGTCATTTGGAATTTGACAATCATTGTGGTTAAAATTGGTTCAGTTGAAAATCTTCAATGAATGCTAATACTAGTAAGTGAAAGCTGGATGAGAACTCTGTTTATTAATCAAAGTGGGGGAAAGTAGAAGGGCTTGGCAGACACTTCTTGTATTAACTGATCAAAGCCCAATCATTGGTGAAAGCACAAACTAAAATTGTGTGACACAATTATATAAAATTGTTATATGAAGATAATATTTATCTTATTTTTTATAAGATACATGAAGAAGATACCATCTCTTTTGTGTTATTCTTGTTGGAAAGGTACAACCCAAATTTATTAATGAAACACCAGGCAAACTCTAATTGAGGAACAAACTACAAAATAACTGCTGAAATCATCAAAGTATTTAAATAATGAAAGTCAAGGGAAAATGAACTGTTTCAGGTTGGTGGAGACTAAAAAGACAACTAAGTGCCAAGCGTAATCTCTTGACTATGTAATATCAGGTTGGTTCCTGATCTTGATGGTTACACCGGTGAATGAAGTAGAGCCAATGACCTTGTCTGTAGGAATTACACTCTAACGTATTCGGCGTGATAGGCCATCACTGGCTCAACAGTTCATAGAAAAAAGTTTCTTGGCAGTTTTCTTGCAAAACTGGAAATTATTTCAAAATGAAGAAATCATAAAAGTAATATTTTTCATAATAAAGGCACCACTTAAGAAAAATTAACTCAGAAAAACTTGTATAAAAATTCATTTTCTTACATGGACTTAAAAATCAAAGAACAAAGCTCCAAAGGAAAATATCTACCTAAGTAAGATGTTTTTCTCTTTGGAAATGGAAATTTAACTAATAACTTTATTTTACATAATTTGAAAATGCAACCGGTTATCTTATTTAGGAAATTTTTCTTTTTCCCAACTTTATTTATTTTTACTTTTCCAGGTATTTAGAGTTGGTATTTTTCCTAAACTAAACCACAGACTCTATTTGGGACAGAAATGTTAAGCAGTACAAATGACCCTTTCTCTAAGTATTATTTAAAAGATTTAATGTAAAGCAATAAGAGACCACAAAACTAATTGTAAAATGTTTTTATATAGGCAAAGCAAACTAAAATACTTTGACTACTTAATGTTATTAGTTCTGCGCAAAGATCTACATTAATTTGTGGCTCATAATTCTATGAACATTTGGAACAAGTACTTACAACTAAAGTTTACTCTTTTCTTAAAATTTTGCATAACCACAGGGATAGAAATTTAAGAGACAGAAGTCTTCTAATTTAAGCTGGCTAAGGAGGTTCTTAAATCTCTTTTGTAGCAAAATTTCCCCAGAAACCAAGAAAGATGCACACAAAAGTTCTTACCTTTTTATCAAAAGTTAATTTTTATTATCTTTCTCATTTTATGGCATTGAAAATAGTGGAAAAATCGCTATTATTCACATAATGAAATTTCATATCAAAACATTTTCCTGATTTCTGTAGTGAATAATACATCTTCGTATCTATGACTTGTGTTTAATGTAGAGAGGGAAACGGAGTAATCCAACACTATCCAAGTCACACATGCTCTAAAATAAGCTCAGACAGCTGGATCAGGCTGACAGAAATTACACTTAAGTGTGAAATTTTAATGAGACTCCTTTCTGAAAGTTTTCTCTTAATGACTCAGCCATTTTCTTCAGATTTTGCTTATTTAATGTTTTTCCTCTTCATAGTACCAGCTGATGATTAACTTACTAACAAATGGTAATCATATGAGATCATATTGGAGTAAGCTCCTTGATTTGGCATCTAAATTTTAAGTCAATTCTTGTGGTTACATGGATGTAAATGACATCCTCAACTGCTGCCTTCATACACTATGTGCTCAATAGTAAGGCTTATTAGAAAGGACCTACAGACCAGGAAACCTAAGTTCTAGTCTTTAGATAGGAAAGCAACTAACAATTGTAGCTAAATCATTTAGCTTCTGTTCTTTGGTTTTCATATTTATCATCAGTGGTGATGATGATACCCTATCTACCTGATGAGGGTGTTTGAGGTTAGATAATACATTGAAGCACTCTAGAATAATATCAGCTTACCTTTATTTGGCAATTTTGATTTTTCAAAATCTTATCCCTGGCATTGAAGTTATTGAAGGCACTTATGTCTCCTTATTCAAAAGATTTTTTTAAAGTCTCTTACCATGGTAATCCTTGATTCCTAAGGTTTTACTTTCCTTCCCCAGGAAAGGTATTGACAATTTTAGATTGTCAAAATAGTAACTGGAAGTCATTAGCATTTGTGACAAATCACACCGAAAGTACCTCTATTAGTAATAGATTGCTAGAAGCTTACTGGGAAAAACATTAATGGTGTCAGATTTGCATTTGATATCTTATTATAAGATACTGTGCTGCATAAAATATAGGTATAGCTTATTAACATCATTTAAAAAATTTAGAACATGATTTTTAAAGGTGGTACTTCTCTTGTGAAGGGAGGTTTTGCTGGAGGAAATTACAGCTTCTTAAGATTATCAGAGAATGCATCCTGTCTGTGTACCTCTCTGAATGAAAGAATTAAAATAGAGAATGGTTTCATTATTCATAGTTTTGGCTCCTGGAGGTTGGAGAGGGAACAAGAAAAATCATTAAGACATCCTTAGAACAATGTAACACACAATATACACATACTGTATGTGGATCCTGAGATGTTACAAGTTTAAAAATAAAGAGATCAACATGATCCAAACAGTTTCCAAGACACCGTTATGGTGAGTAAACAGCCATTTTACAGTGTGTGCTGAATGGATGTCCGCGTCGTGCCATGAAAACCCTACTGTGCTTCCAAATCTGAAAGCTAGTCATCCAGAGCAGGGGGCCAGTCAACATCTACAGACTAGAAGGAAGAAAACAAGTCATTAAAACATATTACTGTTCTAGAAGCATTTGCTGATAATGCTGTATAAATGTAAACTTCTAATAGTACTATAACAGAAGAAATTGCATTTGAAGAAAAGAGCCAGTGAATACAATTTAACACTCTAAACCCAAGTCTAGGCCTTGGGATTCTTGGGTCTACAGTCTGCTGCTGAACTTACCAAGTATTTGGTTACTCAGCTGGTTATTAATTGTGCCTGTTGACTGATAAGAGACTAGAGTACACTTATAATTTTTTAATTAGCAAAAGTAATTAAGTTAAAAGCGAACATTCAGGTGGCAACACCAACTTTCCCTCTGAAACCTCAGCAGCTTTTATTCTTCTGATCCTTTTCTTTTTCCCGTATTTCTACCCGCCCTGGTCCAGTTCTTCTAAAACGAAACCTAATGAAATTACAGTACCAGACTATTTTGTGCCACGTTCCAGGGCTTAGAAGCATTAAATTGCACCTCATCTTTACTACCCTGGAGGGCCTAATTTAAGAGGAAGTTTTCTAAAAATCCACTGTACCATGTTATTTGAGATGTAAAGTTAAAACTTGGATTTTTAAATTGATCAGTGAGTCACCTCACATACCAGATTCAGAAACATTTTATTATAAAAGCCCAAGTAACTACTGCATGTGTACGTGTGTGCCTTTTATAAATCCCAAGAAAATATTTTGGTACCGTTTCAGAATATAGCCATATACCCAACACCCATATATAAGGTGATGGGTGGTTTCTCAAGCCTGAAAACGAAACCTTTCTGATTACAATCAGCATGTGTCGCACGCAGGGGAGGGCAGGCATGCTGTATGGTTGGAAAGGCTCCATAAGTGATTCCAATGGGTCATCAGAGCTGAGAAACACTGGCCTGTGACCGCCACCCCCAAACTGTTCTAAGGAGTAAGGTAACAAGTGCAACTGGGTTTTCTTTAACAGAAAAGTGTCTTTGTCCACATATATTCTCTCTGAGGAGGCCACCTGCAACCCTGAAGATGCTATCACTGGCTGAGCTGAGTATGATCGAATCTGAAAGACCTCAAGAGAACTGCCGGTGAGGTAATATGCTCCAGTGATCATTGGACTACCATAGCTGCTTTTACCCTAGGCAACTATACCCTCTTTTTTTTTATAACGGGTACAAGTTCCAAGTACAGAATATCGGCCTCTCCCAAAATTGGAGGGGTGGGGGTGGGGAGGGAACTCTATTCCTAATGGGAGCACAACTCGGGACTCAATATCTGCTGATGCTCAAATGAGGAAAATATTTATGGAGAACTTCCTGAAAGATCCATTCCGTTTATTCCAATTACTTACAAAGTTAACCTTGTTCCACAGGTTAATTCAGATTATAAGAGTAGAGAATTTGGACCACATCCTAGGGGTCCACAGAACTGCTTTCATTAATAACCATTGGCTCATCACATGCCCTACCTGTCATGAACATACATTTCTGAGTAGGCTGCCTTAAATTCTTTGTAAGACAAAATTGGCGTGGGAATGAAGTACAAAATCAAAGGACACAAGAAGGGCACTTACAACTTCATTTCCATGTGTGTTTTAAGGGTTTAGATCTCATGCCATGTATAAAGAACAATTAATAAGTCAGCTATATATTTGCAAGAATCACAAATAAGACCTTGTTTCTTTTTAAGATATAAAAATTCCAAGATAGACCTCTCCTGCAGTATAACGCTACTATAAGATTCTGACCATTTTCAAACACCTCTTAAGGTGAGTAGTACTATTTGGCTTAATACCAAAAATGCATACTTTTTGAATTCAAGGTGCAAATGGGCATTTCCACAACAAAATGGTTTACCTCAACATCCAGCTCAAGAATGTCTGCAGTCACATCCATCAGAGAGCCAATGTTCGGCTTGGTTCTCCCAAAGTCTCCATGTACAAACTCTTTGATGTAGCTGGAGTTTGTTTAAGGAAAAATAACATAGCCATGCAGTACCAATTGTTTGGGGAGATTTGATAGGTGAAAGAGAAACAAAAGTAGAAATGTTACAAAAGAGAGGTTATTTCTGAGCTGTGACTTGTGACGTACGTCTTAAAAAATAAGCTGTGGCAAGCTGGTTCCTACCAGCCTGGCAGCCAACACCAGGACCCGGGACTTGTGTTTACATTACATCAAACTTACCAAGAGTCATCATTTTCTTTTTTCTTTAGCTCACCTCCAAGTGCCAAGGACTGGGTATGGATTTTCAAAATAGACTGTAGAGAAATGCTGTATTTACTGGGTTGGCAAAACCCAGTTCATTTGGTTTTTTCCATAAGATGGCTCTTAGTAGTGCTTACTTTTTGTTGTTGTTGTTTTTTGTTTTTTTTAAATTTATCTTTAGAGGGGAAGGAGAGAGGGAGAGAAACATCAATGTATGGTTGCCTTCGTGCATTCCCTGCTGGGAATTGGCCTGCAGGGAACTGGCCTGCAACCCAGGCATGTGCCCTGACTGGGAATCGAACCACAATTGTCTGGTTCGCAGGCCCACGCTCAATCCACTGAGATACAACAGCCAGGGCTGCTTATTTGTTTTTAACTTAATTTGATTGTGACAGCTGACATATCAGCATGTACTTAGAAAAACCAAAGTTGGTGAATTTTTGTGCAGCCATTTTAATTTTGGACATGGAAGAAGATTCACAACATTTTTAGCATATTATGCTTTATTATTTCAAGAAAGGTAAAAATTCAACTGAAACACACAAAAAAAGATTTGTGCAGTGTATGGAAATGGTGCTGTGACTGATTGAATGTGTCAAAAGTGGTTTGTGAAGTTTTGTGCTGGAGATTTCTCTTTGGTTGATACTCCACGGGTGGGTAGACCAGTTGAAGTTGATAGTGATCCAATTGAGACATTAATTGAGAATGATCAATGTTCTACCACACAGGAGATAGCTGAGATACTCAAAATATGCAAGTCAATAAAGTTACAGGTGAAAATGAAAAATGTGTCTTTTATTTATGGAAAAAAAAACTAAACAGACTTTCTGGCCAACCTAATGTACATATTATATGTTATACAACATATATATATTTTTTTAATCTCAGCTATTTTTTCTTTGCCACAACTTCCATTTTGACATCTTTCTAGTCCCATTTTTCAATAATAGCAGCCAGTATCTGCCAGATGATAGGTTTCCAGTCCTACCAAGTGACCTCAGTGATAGCTTTCCTTGTAACATCACCCAGCGACACATGGCAATAGGATGGGAGGGACAATAAGACAATTTCATCTGGTGAAGGCCCTTCAGAAGGATTATTAGAGGGCCTACGTTCTAGTCGTTCGGCAAACATGGTTAACATTAGCAAGAGGATTAAGTAAATTCTCTCTCCTTTTTAAAGGGGCAACTTGAGTTTTGCTCATAGGTCTTCAAATTGTGAAGTCAATGACTAATCCTGAAATAGTTTATCAAAAAGATTATGTTAACATTCCTTACAGAGGACTCTACTACAGCCTTGACAATCTTTATCTGAAAGATGTTTTTGCCAACATTCAGTAAAAGTTCATTCACCATTATGTTGTGGTCTATTAACCATCACTTAGTATAAAAATGTAATAGAGCCCTGGTTGGTGTGGCTCAGTAGATTGTGAGAACCAGCCTGTGAACCAAAAGGTCGCTGGTTCAATTCCCAGCCAGAGCACATGCCTGGGTTGTGGGCCAGGGGCATGTGAGAGGAAACCAACTGATATTTTTCTTGCACATCAATGTTTCTCTCCCTCCCCTCCCTCTCTTTCCCTCTCTCCGAAAATAAATAAAATCTAGAAAAAAAATTAATATAATTTGAATAGGAAAAATGTTCTCAGATGATGAATTAAAACACACCATCATATTCTGATATATCCTTACTTTCTGAAAGTTTATTCACTTTACTTTCAGCAAATGTTTTGATTCAAGCATGTAATTATCTAGTAACTGTCTTCTTTACTAAACTCATAATTACCTAACAACCATCATTCCTTTTTTCTCACTTTCTTTAGATAATGCTACTTCTGAGTAGCAAGGACGAGGGGAGATGACCAAAAAGCCCCCAAAAAACCAATTATAAGGTCCAGAATGGTTCTTAATCATACCAAGAGGGATGAGTGTAAGTGAAATGAACTAGTTCAGTACACTGAGCAATGTATGTGAAAAATTCACATACTTCTGTGTATAACCACATAGTATCTAGAGCTTTCCCCCATGGTCTCTCTTGACTAATGCCTTAAGTTACATGTTCTGTGTACATGGCTGGTTGTAAAAATATTTTAATGAGATTGAAAAGATAATAGCTTCTCCAAAATACCACTACATTGCTCCCTAGTATACCAGAACTAAAGCTGAGATAAACTAAAAAGAAATTTTTTAAAAAATCTGTAATTTCTTTGAAATCCCATCCACATTCCACCTATAATAGGCAGATTGCTCCAAATAACAAAGATACAAAGACCTGCCCACTCAAATCTAAGTAAACCATCCCTTATTCCAAATAGTAAAAATTTAGGAGATTTTAGAAGTTAACTATACCTGTTTTCAAGGGGGGAAATCCTGGTCCCTTCTGGGCTGGGACAACGGCGACAGAGAGGTGAGGAGGGTGGTGGGGAAGGAAAGGCAGACTAATCACATGGAGTGAGAATGCTGTCTGATGATTAAAACTTGACATGTTTTCCCCTTATATCCATAGTATATCATTAGTTTTATACTAGTTACATGGCATTTTGTCGCTTCATGCTATTGGTTCACAAAAAATATGAAACCAAGAAACAAATAAAAACTAGAAGCAACTTTGAAAAGCGCAATAAAGCTAAGACTACAACAGCTCTCTAATATTTTTTAACCAGCAACTCAGACTTGATACAAAACCGTGCAAGGCAGAGTGAGTAGGTTATCAGCAAGTGATCAGTCTTGGCCTATTTTCTTGTTATGGACCAGTTGGCCAAATAAAGATCATTATGTAAAAGCAGGGCCACTCCTATCTGCTATCAGTGTTTAATCATCTGGGGCAAATGCTCGGAAAACTTGAAAGGACTCAACTGTAGTCATGAATATGTGACTGGCAAAATGTAAACAGACGGTCCTGGCTAGGTTACCCAGTTGGTTGCAGCGTCATCTGTGTACCAAAAGGTTGTGGGTTCAATTCCCAGTCAGGGCACATACCTGGGTTGTGGGTTCAGTCCCTGGTCAGGGCACATACAGGAATCAACTGATAGATGTTTCTCTCTTACACCAATGTTTCTCTGTCCTTTCCTTTCTAAAATCAAGCAAAACAACAACAACAAAATATCCTCAAGTGAGGATTTTTTTAAAATGTGTAAAGACAGCAAATGAATCAATCAAAAGTGTCTCTGGCGTACTTACTACGGGTTCAGCATTATATAAGACACTAAATATTTTAAAGATCACATTGAACTGACTGCTGTCTCATGGTTTAAAATGTCATTTTGAAAAACACAAATTTAATGGGGAAAAAACCCACTCAATCCCCCCTCCCCAAATATTCTCCAACTTAATCCTTTCCCTACTACCTCCTAGATCAAGTTGAGCCTATTTTTTTAAGGCAGCATGAACTCCTCCCAAAGGGTTCTGGTTGGATTCCTGCCATGTGGAAGCTGAAAGGATACGTTCCAGCCTGTGTCTTCAGGTAGAGGCGGAAATGGTGCTCATCCACATAGCACGTCTCCATGGAGTGAATGACACGAGCTCGTACAGCCAGGGGCCTCCGGTGAAGGACCCGGAGAGGTGTTTTCTGGTCAATCTTTAAGTCCTAGAGGAGGATACGATACACAACTAGACAGTCAACTTTGCTGCCCACTGAAGCTCGTCTTGGCACCTCCTTTGTCACCCGTGGCTCACCACAGTTGTTTTCTTCCGAGAACCCTACCGTCTGTCGCTGTCAGGGTACAAACTAGTACCCTAAGGTTCACACTCTGTGGGCTTCTCATAACCTGGCCCATAATTACTTACTTTCTGGGCCCCAGCACACACCATTAGAAAAGGCTTTGAGGGAAATGTTCTCCAAAGTCTCCACTGCTCTAATATTTAACAAATTGATTAGGACCCCGGAATTCTATTCCACCCTTTGCTTTCACAGCTCTTCTAAAAGACATATTCTTTCAGGTTTTTTCCGAACCCAACGAAATAACCTAGTAATGGGGATTTGGGGCAGCAGTCAGAAATAGGTTTTGGACAGTGGGGCACCAGTGGCATCATTTGTGTGTATAGGCAGAGTGCATGTTTTAGGGAGAACCATACACCTGCTCACAGGGTTATTTTTTGGTTACATGAAAGGATGTATCTGGAAAATTAGCAATTGCATCATAGCTTTAGGGTGGTATTTCAATATAATAATTACAAGTAAGCATGTGCAATAAAACAGGACCTTTCAATATTTGTTAGCCTTATTCAAGTTACTTGAGAATAATAACACTGCATGTCTTTTTATAATTCTGAATTTTTTACAGGCACAGGTTTGTTTTTCTCACAGAGATTTCCTTTTATGTCACAAGATATAAATTAAGAAATAGAGGTCAGTGTTGTAAAAGGCAAACTAATTTCAAGTTTTAAAAATAGATATTGGGTATAACCAGAATTGTAGGTTCCTAAGAATTTTAGATGCTCTGCAATTCTTGTTGGAACAACTCCTTTCTAATTTACATGATCGGTGAGTGCCTGAAGGTGTATTAAGAAAGATTTCCTTCTGGCCTTCCCTCTACCAAGTTCTCTACTGAGAGAGAAAGAACAAGTTCTGACAACAATGCACTTGAAATGCTGTGTCTGCTTTTTACCAGAGCAGTGAGTCAACGGCCCCTCCTAAGTCACAGGGAGTTTTTGCTACTTTAATTTTAATTTTTTCCAATTACAGCTGACGTTGAATATTATGTTAGTGTCGGGTATACAGCATAGTGTTCAGATATTTATATAACTTATGAATTGACCCCCCAATAGGTCTACTACCCACCTGGCACCACACACAGTTATTACAGTATCATTGACTATATTCTCCTATGCTGCTGTTCACATCCCTGTGACTAACTCATGGTCTTTATGATTCCGTGAGTCCTCAATTTTAATAGCACTTTGTTTTGATGAGATTAACTCTCTTCATAAGGTTTTCTCTGGCTAATAAAAGCAAAAGAAGGACAAGGCTGAACTTTTAAGGAGCCTGTAGAGATGAGGCCCCTCCCTGTTCAGAGTACAGAAACAGCTGGCCTTCCCCCGGGTGGCTGCCCGAGGAGCGCTCATCTCCCGTCCCCTTCACGTCCAGTCACCACCAGAACTTTGGCCATGAGCCAGTCAAAGGAAGCACTAACTGAGCTGGCAGACCCACCACTGCTTCTAAAATAACACTCAGGTCAGCACACTCTCGTGTGTCTTTTTGGTCCAGTTGATTTTAGCAGGCAAAAAGAAACCAATTCATCCACTCTGACACTGCACTCTGCTGTTCCCAAACTGCTGAATTTTCAAAAACACATATAAACACACACGGATGATTGTTTTCCCCTTGGAAGTAGGTTGTCCTTAAAAGAGAGAAGAGTAATAAATTTGAACTGACTTGCCTTAGTTATATATATACATATTTTACCAATGGGAATATTTGAAAACTGTTTTAACCCTTATACTTAAAAAAAATTATCAGAAGTCAAGCAGCATCCAGTCTCACCAGTCTACTTGGGATGTGGACCATTAAAATAAACCCTTTTACTACTTAGGCTGTACCTATAAAACTCATCTTTCAGTACTGTTTCTGAATTAGCCCTACAGCTACCCTCTCAAACTCTGAATACATTTTTAAATGAGTTTATTTTTCCCAAACCATTCTGAATGACTTGTACATATGTGATAAAATAGAGGTTTAAGAATTTGTTTTGCAATCTTAAAAATATCTATCTATAGTATAACTATGATCCTAAAGGCCCTAGATAATAGGGCCCAAAGCCAAAAGGCCTCAGACACAGACTCATAGAGCCTGAGAATGGAAGGGCCACGGGGGATGCTCACGGGGTGTCCAACCCACGGCCCACAGGCCGCATGCAGCCCAGGATGGCTATGAGTGTGGCCCAATACAAAATTGTAAATTTACTTAAAACCTTTTCTTTGCTCATCAGTTTTCGTTAGTGTTCGTGTATTTAATGTGTGACCCAAGACAACTCTTCTTCCAGTGTGGCTCAGAGATGCCAAAAGGCTGGACACCTCTGCTAGTCCATCCTTTGTTTTATAGATGAACTTCTGTAAGCAGGTATATGTTTTCACCAAACCACTTCCACTCTAAACATTATTCTGCACTTCACTTTTTTTCATAATGTCATGGGTGTTCCTGCAAGGCACAGAGGTAGACCTACCTTTATCCTTTTTGTATTTCAGGGTTTTTAAACAGTTGTATCATATCACAACTTGTACTACCATTTCCTCATTAAAGGAAATTCATTTTGTTTCCAGTCTACTGAATGTATGCAACCAGCCTTCTCCTCTGCTCCAACCAACAGATGTTACTGATCACAGAGGAATAAAGTGATGGTTTTATTGTTACTTTGATATGGAGGTGGAACACCTTTTCAAATGATCTTGGCCATCTGAACTTGCTCTTTTTTCAGCTGTTTGTTCATATCCTTTGTCTATTTTTCTTTATCAGGCGTTTGTATTTTTCAAAAGTATAAATCCTATTTATGGTATCTTTTGCCCACTTATTTTCTACATAGTCCTACATATGTGCACACACACACACACACGCCTGTGTGTGCGGTTAAGTCACAATGTATCCTCCTCTACACTTACGGCTTGTTCCTCTTTTTCTTTCACCATTTGTCAGGAACATTTTCAACTTTGTCAATAAATATTCATCTACCACAGAATTTCTAACTGCCTGGTGATAGTAGTCCCTCATACAGATGAGCCATAAGATTCAACGAATCCCCACTTGTAGGTCATGCTGATTATTACAAAATATTTCCCACTTAAACAGTGTTCTGATAACTATATATGAATATCTTGGTGCCCACTTAGGCTCATTTCTGCATCTGAAAATAAATTCTAGGAAAAGGTGGGGGCATATGGGAAGAAATATTCAAACAAGCAGACCCTCTCTAATGACATGTTTGTGTGAAGGAAAACCTAGCATGTGCCAAGAAACTTGTGCTCTACACATTATCCTGTTTTATTTATCTATCAGAGGATTTATGTATGGACTTAATCTTAGCATCAACTCTATTAGATAAGTCCTGTTTTTTATTTCTTTTGTATAGATGGCCAAATACAATAGTAGCATTGCCGAGTATTTTCTATGTGTCAGGTACTGATGTAAGTGATTTATGTGACTAAATTCATTTAATTCTTCTAATTTTATAGATGGAGAAATTGAAGAGGGTAAGTCACTTGTCCAAAGTCACACAGTTAAGAAATACAGATGCAGGATTCACACCCTAACCACCCGTCCTCAGAGGCAGGCTCTTAATCACTAGCAGCACTGCCTCTCAAATGACTCTTTGACAAAAGTAGTTCAGTTGACTGGGTGTCGTCACGAAAAGCAAAAGGTTGCCAGTTCGATTTCTGGTCAGGGCACATGCCTGGGTTGCAGGTTCAGTCCCAGTTGGGGCCTGGTCAGGGCACACAGGAGAGACAACTGATTGATGTTTCTCTCCCTCTCTTTCTCCTGCCTTTCCCCTCTGTCTAAAAATAAATAAAATCTAAAAAAAACAAAAAAAAAAGACTGCCTCTCAGACTGGGTAGATGAATTGCCCACCCATTCAACTAGTAAATGGCCGAGCCAGGATTTAAAAACAGGTCTCGTGGTCCCCAATACCCATGTTCTATGACTTGCTGGTAATAAACCAGGCAACAAAGGACTCTTTCATAGGCAGCGGAAAAATAAAATAAAAAGAATTAGGGTACATAACTACCTTTATGTCATTTAGGAACTCAATGTCTTTCTTCTGTATTGCTTTATCTGTCCATATTAAGGCACTATAGGTCTTGGTCTTTTCTTCTTCCCCTTCTTTCATATGTCCTATTGCTTCTCTAAACAAAAACAATAAAACAAAGTTTGTCTGAATACAATGCACACAAGCCTTGCCCCCAATTTCCCCTTCTTTCAAAATGGCTCTATTGAGGTACAGTTCACATACAATTCCCCTCCTGTTTCAACTGTACACTCCAGTAACTTTTCGTGTGTTCGCAGAGTTGTGCAGCTACCACCACCATCTCACTTTAGAATTACTGTCATCACCCCGAAGAGAAACTCCACACCCTGCACAGTCACTTCCCACCCCATTCCCCTGGCCCTTGGCAAGTATTAACTGACTCTGTCTCCGCAGATTCCCCTACTCTGGACATGTCATGTAACATGGAATCATATAACACGTGGTGTTTGGTGACTGACTTCTTTTACTTCATAATGTTTTCAAGGTTCATCATATTGTAGCATGTATTGGTACTTCATTCCTTTCTTTTTCCTTCACTCCTCTGTATTACTGAATAGTATTCCATTGCATTGTGGGTATACATTTCGTTTATCCATGGACTTTTTTTGCTATTATAAATCACACTACCATGAACATCCATGTAGATTTTTTGTGCAGATGTACATTTTCATTTATCTTGGGTATATATCTAGAAGTAGAATTGCTGGGTCATATGTTAACCCTTGGAGAAGCTTCCAAACTCTTTTCCAAACTGGCCGCACTTACAATCCCATAGCAATGTAGGAAGGTTCCCATTTCCCCACTTTCTTGCTAACATTTACTATTTTCCACCTTTTTGATTATAGCCATCGTAGTGAGTGTGAAGTTAGATCTTGTGGTTTTCATTTGCATTTCCCTAATTATTAATGGTATTGAGCATTTTCAAATGTATTCACTGGTGTATTCCTATATCCTTTTTGGAGACATGTCCATTTAACCATCTCCCTATTATTAATTGGTTGTTCTCTAATTGAGTTGTAAGAGTTCTTGATATATTCTGGATTCTAATTCCCTTAACAGATACATGATCTACAACTGACACTTCCCTTTTGATACTATCTCCAGCAAGCCTACCCTTACCTTGTGACAAGCTGCAAGTCACGGACTTGGATTTTGTTAGACGACTTATTAATTTTCTGTAGTAGCAGAAAAAGAAAAACAATTAGCAACTCTCAGTCAGTTACAGAGCTGCAGAAACAGGACGATTTCCATGTCATGAAGTGGTTTACCTGCTGAAGTTCCTTAATTTCTTGTGAAGTGAAATGTACTCTATGAGGATTCACCAGCTCAATTGCAAAGGGCCTTCCTGGCAGCACACACCCCGCCGTGAAACAGAAACGTGTTGATGGAGTTAACATTCGGGCAAGAGGGTTAGGAGGTGTGAAAAAACGAGTTGAGCTCTAGAGGACTGAAAGTTTAGCTACATCTGGGGGAGGGAAGGATGTGTGAAAAGAATCAAGGGACTTTCTGGGGGCAGCTAGACCCCAGTACAGGCAATATGTGAAAGTGACTGTTTTCCCAAAGGTCCATGAACAAGCCTGTGTTAATTACAAAGTAAAAATCTAAACAACCACTAATTGACTTGGTTACTCCAGTGAAATGTTGTCACATGCAGTGATGTCCAGGTGTAGCAAGTTGAAATCCATCCTCCTAGCCTAATCCACTAGTGAAACAGAAAAGCTGTGATTCTGTGAGGGAGAGGGACTATAAATCTCAACAGCTCAGGATTAACTCTCATTTTTCTTGTAATGCAACACTGTAAAATGAGAGAGATGAGGGCTAAAGGAACAAATCACTTTTTTAAATAAAGATGTGCATTTTAAAAACTGTACTGGTCCTGCTGAAATGTTATTAAATGCAACAATCAGATTTTTGGAAAACATCAGGCACTTCCTTGTTAATGTACATAAGTCCCTTGTAACTTACAGGCATGCAATAAAAATGGCCTCTGAAGAAATGATCCCTACAAAACATAATGATCATATAATTTATTGAGGTAGCTCCATAATCCATAAAGCTTTCTCACTTGGTGAGCAGCTCTGAGCTCTGCCTGCTTTGGTTTTGAGGAAGTGACTAGAGTCCGAAAGGATGACAATCTGAGAGTTAGTTCTAGTCAAGTGATGCTGTTGCAACCTTACCATTTCCTAACGTTCTCACATCAACATCTTCTCTTCCAGAGGATGAAAAATTAAAACCTTTGGAAAGGAGATAACACAAAAGAATTAGAGAAATAATAGTTCTTAGACTTTCATTCCCTCCCTTTGATAGAAACCTAATTTGTCTTGAATAATTTACAGGAGATTCCCAAAGGATAGTCATCATCTCACTTCTAATTCCAATCTCTCCTAAAAACAGCATTAATCATAATAAATACCATTTACTGAACACTTACTTTATGCAGGCACTGAGTTAATTTTTTTTTCATACATTATTTCATTTAATTCTACCTGGTAACATAGGCTTAAAAAAAAAACAGCTTCTGAAAGGTTAAGGACTTTGCCAAGGTCACAAGATTAAATGGCAGAGCTACGTGTTTCTAATGTCAAGGCCAGACCTTAACTATCATCCCACGCCACCATCCCACGAAAAAGCCGAAGCAGAGCACAATTTGGAGGAAGGCCCCAGACCACCCCATCCCACAAGCTTATTGTGAAAAATTTATCATTTACTCTCTTTCCCTTAAAACAAAACAAAAAATATTTATTTGAGAATTAAACTCTATGAAAGGAAAAAGAAGCAGAAAATGTTTGACTCTAAAAACAAATTCATTATATAAGCAAACCTAAGCTGGAACCATGACAAAACTAGTGTTCATTCTAAGATATAAGGGTCATCACAGACCCATCTATGATGAGTCTGCAAATATTGGAATGGCAAGTGGTTTAAAAAGGGGGGGGGGGTGTCACATGACAACTTTCTTAAATACAGAACGGACTGATGAGGTCATCATCATCATCACCACAGCCAACATTACCAAGAGAAGCTCTATTCTAAATACTTCCTATATCAATCCGAGATAACAATCCGAGATAAGTACTTAACAATCTGAGATAAGTACTATCATTAGTTATCTCCACTTTACTTACAGGAAGGTAAGACAGAAACAAAATCAGTAATTTATCTAAGAGCTCATCACTAACAAGTGGTAGGTCAATATTTGAACCAGGTAGTCTGGTTCCACAGTTGCTTTTTTTTATTAATTACTTTTTATTGGTTATGCTCTTATAGTTGTCCTGATTTCTTTCTCCTTTGCCCCCCTCCACCCAGCAACCCCCACTCCCTCAGGCAATCCCCCCACCACTGCTCATGTCCATGGGTCATGCATATAAGTTCTTTCGCTACTCCATTTCCTACACTGTACTTTATATCCCATGGCTATTCTGTAACTACCTATTTGTACTTCTTAATCCCCTCACCTCTTCATCCATTCCCCTACAGTCCTCTCCCACCTGGCAACCATCAAAACACTCTGTATTCACAATTCTGTCTCTGTTCATTTTGTTTGCTGAGTTTGTTTCTTTAGATTCAATTGTTTATAGATTTGTATCTTTTGCCACTTCATAGTTTTGATCTTATTTTTCTTAAATAAGTCCCTTTAACACTTCATATAATAATGATTTGGTGATAAACTCCTTTAGTTTTTTTCTTGACTGGGAAGCTCTTTAATCTGCCCTTCAATTCTAAATGATAGCTTTGCTATGTCGAGCAATCTTGGCTACAGGTCCCTGCTTTTCACGACTTTGAATATTTCTTGCCAATCCCTTCAATCCCTTTCTTTTTTGAGAAATCAGCTGACAGTCTGATGGGAATCTTCTGTGGGCAACTAACTGCTTTTCCCTTCCTGCTTTTAAGATTCTCTATCTTTAACCTTTGGCATTTTCATTATGAGGTGTCTTGGAGTGAGCCTCTTTGCATCTATCTTGTTTGGGACTCTGTGGTTCCTAGACTTAAATGACTCTTTACATCACCAAATTAGGAAAGTTTCCTTTCATTATTTTTTCAGATAGATTTCCAATTCCTTGCTCTATCTCTTCTCCTTCTGGCACCCCTATGATGTGAATGTTGGACCTCTTGAAATTGTCCCAGAGGCTGCTTATTCTATCCTCATTTTTTGGATTCTTTTTTCTTTTTGTTCTGATTGGTTGTTTTTTGCTTCCTTATATTCCAAATCATTGATGTGATTCTCAGCTTCATCCATTCTATTGTTGTTTCCCTGTAAGTTGTTCTTTATTTCAATTAGTGTATCTAATTCATTTCTGACTGGATCTTTTTTATGCTGCCGAGGTCCTCACTAAGTTCCTTGAGCATCCTTATGACCAGTATTTTAACCTCTGCATCTGAGGGATTGCTTATCTCCATTTCATTTAGCTCTTTTTCTGGAGTTTTGATCTGTTTTTTCATTTGGCTGTTTGTCTCCTTATTTTGGCAGCTTCCCTGTGTTTGTTTCTATGTATTAGGTAGAGCTGCTTTGACTCTGTGTCTTGGTAGCATGGCCTAATGTGGCGAGTGTCCTATAGGGTCCAGTGGCACAGCCTCCCCTATAACCCAAGCTGGGTACTCGAGGTGCGCCCTTTGTGTGGGCTGAGTACACCCTACTCTTGTAGTTGAGCCTTGATTGCTGTTGGCCAATCAATGGTAGGGATTTACCCAGGCCAGTCAGCTCCAAGGATTGGCCGTGATAACTGTCCTCCATGGAGGACCAGCTGTGCAAGGGCAGTGTGGTGGTGCTCCAATGTAGTCTTATAGCTGTCCACTGAGTGTGCTACTTCAGGAAGACAGTAGCACTATCTTTCTGAAAGATAGCAATGGTGAAGCACACAGCTGTTTCAGAGGCCCCCAGTAGCCCTATCCATTGTGGGGGCTTCCTTGGGAGCCAAGTAGTCAGAACAGAAAGGGAGTAAGGTGGCCCCAAAGAGAGTTTGAAAGACTTTTTAGGCCAAAGCTTTATTTTCACTTATTCATAACTTGGGTAAGTCTTATAAAATAACCAGATTAACTAGATAAAAGCTCATGGCAATAGCCTAGAGTCTACTGCTAAGATTTTGGAAAATATTAGGTTGCTAGGTCAATTTCTTCTTCATTCAGTAAACAATTCTTAAAGACCCTTAAAAAGAGGGCCACTCTGCCCTGACCTGCATGGCTCAGTTGGTTGAACATTATCCTGCAAAGCAAAAGGTCACCTGTCCCAGTCAGGGCACATGCCTGAGTTGTGGCCCAGTCCCTAGTTGGGGTGTGCGTGATAGGCAACCAATCAATAGATGTTTCTCTTCCTCTCTTTGTCCCTCCCTTCCCTTCTCTCTAAAAATAAATAAAATTTTTATTTAAAAAAAAAAAGAGGGCCAAGGGGCAGCCACATCTCATCTCAGTCACTTGCTTGCCATTCCTACAGCAAGCCTGTCTTAAGGTTTTTCAGAGAAGGAAGAAAGTCTAGTTGATCCCTCAAAAAATGATGTTCTAATTATGCTAGGAAACCCATTTCAAGAGTGATTTATATATTCACTGCCTACAGTTTTTCCTGCGGTACAACATGATTTCCTGTGGTTGAAATACCAATTGCTTTCCTCTAGCTTAATCCTAGGTGAAATCATGCGGCTTTATGTTGCCTTTGACCTAACAGGCCAATTGAGACAAAGAAAATACAAACCTGACAGGATCGGACTCATCCCACAAACCTGGGCTCATTAATATCTATGAAATTAAAACACAACACAGCTCCCATTAAGTCTTTGTAAAATGGTAGCTGTTGGTTTCTTTTCTCTGGGCTTCAAACTTCATCTGAGGCCATTTTAGTGGCTATGATGGAAGCCAGGCATTTGCCAGGCACTAAATGCGCAAACTGTACTTTAATTTCCTCATATTCCCTAAAAAGAGGTCAAGGCAGAGGTGTTCCAGGGTCAGAGCTCAAGTGCATTCATTTAAAGTAGTTTCAGTTGTTCTGAGTTTCCCCAGGAAAGAACAATCATTTTGAAAAAGGAAAAAAATCCTTGTGCACCTTGGCTCAAATCCAGCCAAGGTCAGAGAAGCTCAAACACAGCAATCCCTGTTATGGGAAAGTGCCAGGCAAGGGGCCCAGACTTGGTGGTAGTTTACAAAATGCAGAAATCTTCCCTGCCACTTCCAACAAATCTATTCATCAATGACAATGTATTTAAAACATGAATAATTTAATACTCACTCTCTGCTTTGAATACTGTCAAAAGATGATCTGAAATTAATTCTTCCACTGAAGATTCCAGCTTCCTTTCTCCATCAATTATCCAAGGAGTTTGTGGTAGATTCCTGGAGTATTTATTATACCTCCCTGCCAGAGACATATAAGGTAGGTTAGATGAAATGATGTAACACAATGGGATAAAAAGAAAAGCAACAACTATTTACTGAGTGCCAGTATCCTATGACAGTAACAAGGCTTAGCTTTCAAATGACTTATGATCTAATCTGGGGAGCCAACACATATACATATACATAACTATGTGATAATATTTAAGGTAACAATAGAAGAGATGACTAAAGACATGATATGAATCATTAAATGAGTTCTAAAGGAATCCTCAATATATTTATTAAACTGACTGGGTGACTGAACAAGTTATAATCCTACAGAGCACACCACGGATAATGTTTTTAAAAAGAGCAACTACTGCTTTCACACCTGATTAATAATACTTTCAATGTAATAGTCATCAGTGATAATATATTCCAAAGAGTTCAAATACAGAAAATTTTGAAGTTTTTGCAATTTAAAAGAAAACACTCTAACAGAATATGACTAATTGCTTTATGAATAAAGCCACCCTAAGGCTTTCATTACCCTGTTTCATTCAACAGTCAAAACTAAAGATAAATTTCATTTCAGCTATTACTATAAAACAGCTAAAGCTTTCAAAACAAAACTATCCGCTAGATAACCCCTTGGGAAAGTCAATACAACAGTTTTGTTTTGTTTTGTTTTGTTTTCAGACAGAAGCCAGTGTTTAGTCATTTTGCAGATAATAAAATTATGTTTTCAAGTTTGCTTTCATGTTATATTAAAAAAACTCTCTCCAAGGCTGTGTTTCTCCTGATACATTTTGGATCTCAACATCTACCCATATTTCCATTTGGCCATCTCTGGTGAAAACTATAAAACCTAGGAAGTGTTACTTCCCTTTGGCAAGGCATTTTAAATAACAGATCTCCTGAGTAGCCATTAAGAATGTCACACAATCTAAAATAAGCTTGGCTATCAGTCCTAGTTCTCAAAGAATTAACTAACCAGAACCTAATAACAACAGTAAGAAGAAAAGAGAGGACGAGTCAGTTGAGTTTTTCAGAAAGGAGGTAAGTTGACAGTGTAAGTATGTTGTCGACTTAAAATCTTTACCAGCCACAAAAACAGCACCATGAGCGCATTCAATTTCAAGAACAGTGCATACAGTCTTTGGTGAGTTTGGAGGACAAGGAAACTGCCTGCAAAAACAAAATAAATTTTATAGCTACTATGTTCCAGACATGATATCGAACCGCATAACTACAATGAATCAGCACTGTCCAACACCCAGCGCCTGAGTCTCTCGAGGACTAAGCCACTCCCTAACTTTAAGGTTAGGAACCAGAGGGCCTTTTAGGCCTCTAGAGTACAGCTTGTAGTACGCCAGCGAGACACTAAGTAAACCGGGGCCTGATTTCCTACTGCCTTTCATTCCCAGCAGGCCTCCTGTTCCCAGATAATAATTTCCAATAACCATGAGATTTCAGAGAAAAATTCGCATATATGAAGTAGAAGCCTCTCCAGGTTCTTTAGCCATTTTGCTGTCCATGAACACTACTTACAAAAATCCTCACTCATCAGGCTGAAGCTGGTATGTGGTGACACTGGTCACATGAGCCCCACCTGAGGGGAGGGTACTCCATCATTTTTCTCTCTTTTTTCCTTCTTGTTTCAACTATGACCTTGGGAATGAGACCAAACAGCCAAAAAAGGTAAAATGTGGCAGACCCTGACTTTTTAGCTAAGAAACTTCAACCTTGCACAGAGAAGAGCAATGTATGGCTTTATTCTCTGTCTACCCTCTGGGAACTTCCAAAGCCATGGACTTTAAATGACTAGACGTGGACTTAATGTACAATGCGTGGCTTGAAAATCTTGTAGAGTTTCCCAAGATATCTCAACAAAGAAATCACTCAGGAACTTAGGAACTATTGTTTGTAGACAGTAAGTGCCTTTGCTTTCTAAACTTTAATAAAAGTATTTCTATTCTGAGACTCATTTTTAGTCAGTAAAATATACAAAACCTTCTTTGTAATGGCATTGTTTGAAATTTATTCAAGGATATCCTAGAAGGATAACTATGATAAAATTTTTATTAAATAAAACAAACATACTGAGAATTAAAATACAAGGCTCATTATATTTCAACATTTTTAACAAGTGGGGAACTCCTGAGCCTTTTTCTCCCTCTCCCAGTGGTGGACAACCCTATAAAATGCAGAATTTCGACTGCAGAGTCAGTCAGGAAACCCGGCTCTAAATCCATTACTCTCTGTCTCCCAGTTGAAATCTTAAGCAAGTTAACTCCCTCTTTGAACCACAATATCCTCTTCTAAAGGGTAAATAAGTTGGACTTGATTCATAAGTTCAAACTGTTTTGACAAACATTCACTGACTACCACTGCATGCCAGGCACTGAGCCAGGGGTGAGGATACAGTGATGATGAAGGCACAATCCTGGTCCCTGAAACACATCCAGTCTCATCCTGGAGACAGATAATCCAGACTATCACCAACATTCCCTTTATTCTAAAATTCTACGATGCCTCCTTGTGTCTATACTTCTACTTACTTGCGGAAATCCTCTTCTTTTATCTTATTCAAAGCTTTCATAACTGCCATTCTAGTGAATACTGACTAAACAGGGTAAAATGAAAAGAAAAGACATTTTATCACCTAGACAAGAAAACAACAGAGGTGAAACAAAGAACATGGTTGGAGAAATTACGGTCTGCTATTTTAAACCATACTTCAAAGGGAGTAATACTTAATAGCATCAAGAAAATAAGTAAAACCTAAGGGTTCATATTATCAGTTCTGCATTTGGCCTCCTCCCCTCAAAATGTGGCATTTTTCAAATATAAACATGATGACATTGCAAGAAATGGGCTTTGAATAGCTTTTCCCAGACCTTCGAAGGAATTTAGATCGATTCATGTCTTTTCTTCTCCACATCCCCTCAGGGGCCACAGTATATAATTTAGGAGTTGGTTGCAGGGGTAAAAGGTAAAACACAGCCGAACAGCCTACCTGGCCTCCAGCAACTCAACATCACTCACCAGCCATAAAGTAAACAAACCCACTACAGTGAATAGAAGAGAATCTACAACAAATGTCCCACTTAGGGGTTTTTAAATAAGAAAAGCCAAATCACATGGTAGGCATATAGAACTCATTTGCCCATATACACATGGTTTGCTATGATAAATCACAATTACTTCTTCTGTTATGAGAGTTACACTTGACTGAAAAGGGGCACAATGAAGACATCTCAACAGTCTACTGTCAAGGCAATGATTTTCTAAACCACATTCCAGGGAACCCCAAGGTATCATTGGGTTAGAACTGAAAATTAAATGCTTGTTTGTTCAGACAAGAAATATTAGGCCTGAAAGAATTTCAAAAGGTCATTCAATTTATTCCAAGATGTAAGCCGGGAAAACTACAGTTAAGACTATGCAACGCCCACTGGCCAAATGGTGTGGTGTCTAAGAAGCTTTGACAAAAATTCCCTTAACCTATAAGGGAATTGATTTGATGCTGGCACATGTACACTTCCTAAAAGATAACAAAAAGTAAACCCAGATCTTCAATATAAATATGGTTTACAGTCATTAGGACAGAGCCTCTCAACTGGTATGGCAAAGCAGTGGGCAGCAATTCCTGTAGTTCATAAGGGCTGAGGAGCAGGGCTTGAGACAATGGGGACCCCCAGGCCTACTGCTTTCAACTTAGAGCAACTTCATCTACGAATCTCAGGGTGCTGAACAAACATGGTGACGTTCAAGGTATACCCGTGACGTGAGACAAGTAAGAAAACACTGCTTTGGGCTTGGTTTGGATTTCTAATTATTTCTGCATAGGGCATTCAGCAAATGTTACAACACCTCCTCCCCACCCATGAGCCAGTTCTAAAAGGCCCAGAGAGTAGTCAAAGCACGAGGAAGGCCAAATGAAGTTTCTTTGACAATAAACTTAATATTCTTTTTAACAACCAGAACAGTGAAATAGATGTCAATAATTTAGGGATGCCTGAACCTGCACAAAACCAGCTAAGTAACTGGGACATGAAAGCTTGCCAATGTCATTCCACGCCATTCTATCTAACTGAAGCTAAAAGTGAATGCCAACTCATTTGCTCATTAACATGAAGACCAGCTCACATCAGACAGTAAAGGGGAGTTTCAATAAAATGCCCTTTTTGCAAATGTATCTTGTAATTCTTGTTATTAATTCTAAGTGAAAAAATAACAATAATAAAATAATTTTTAAAACACCAATTGCTAGAAAATGGATATTAAACAAAAATTTGGAATGCTGTTGAACTCACCACGGATTTTCCCAGATGACTAATTTTGGGAATTAAAATCTAAATGTCAAATATTCCCACTGGGTAACGGAAACATCACCGAAACCCAGGTTTCAAATTCCACACCAGGGCAACAAGCCACACAGTGACACAAACACAGGAGAAGGACTGCATGTCCCAGCTTCCTAGCCAGAGGCAAAGGTGCTGACAATTGAAAAAAATTTTAAAAATGTAGAAAATGAAGAGATTTAAAGATTGATTCTTAATAGATTGCCACGTTACTAATGCAGACCTTTTGTTGTTGTTGTTAGTTTGAATACTCAGCTCAGATAAAACTTACTAAAGAATAAGAACCAGGAATCCTTACCTGTTTGTTTTTGGCTGGCTTGAAACAATCTGGGCATATTGCACGTCTAAGTAAAATTCAAGTTAATATAAAAGGTTAATGAGTTTATTTTGGGGTGGATATAATTCAAATACATTTTATACAACCTGGATTCTAAACTCAGGATATCAGGAGTAGACAAAATAATTCCCCATACAAGCCACACTGGTTTGCCTAGACCTTTATGTTAGCACATTTTAAACCTACTAAGACATTACAACTTCAGATATACTGATTACAAAGAGGAGCAATACTATTTTCATGAAAACCAAAAGGCATTAACAATGTTACACAGTCGACGTTGTTGTTTACGTGGGGACTTACAGGAAGTGGCAATCCTCAACTGTTTCTGGGTGGGCAAAGAGCACACTCACTTCAAACAGGCTCTAAAAGTTATAAAGACAGTTTAAAAATGAGCAAAATAAAACCAACATCTAACAATTTATGAATGGAAACTGAAATTAACTCTCAAACACTGGCTCAGAAAGAGTGACAAGAAAAACTGGAAATCCTGCTATTAAGCAGCTATAAAGAAAATTCTCTTTTCTTTTTTTGACTTCTAAGTTTCAATCATTGAGATCCTACCAAAAAAACAAGTTTAAAAGAAATTTTAAAATAAATTTGTACGATTTTTGTACATGTATATAAATTAGGTGTGAGGATGAATGAGAATTCAGGGAATTGGAAGAGATAACCAAAAGAAATAAAGACTTGTCCCAGTCAATGCTGTGGTTAGAATTATTAGCAAAGCAAAAAGCATTTTATTCATATGCTTAAAAACACTTTATGAGGCTTTTATAAAGTATTCAAACTTCTTAATAATTTTGAGTTTTAAAAAGAGATCTTAATTTTTTTCTTACTACAAAAGCAATACATACAAATTGTAAAATAATCAAATACAGAGTGGATTTTCAATCTCACTTGACTGAGGGAGAACTAGTAACAGTTTGGTGTGTTTCCTTCAAGCTCTTTTTATGAATATAAACATAAATGTACAGTATATACTTCTTAGAATATTAAACATACTTTTGGATAATTGCTTTATTCAATGAATAAAGCAACTGGACATCTTTTCAACTATATGAACTACTGGATATTTTTGTTGTAGTAAGTTTTTCTATTATTAAAAAATGCTAAAATAAACATCCTTGTACATAAAAAAGCACAATTTCTTTTCACACTCTTGTACACTGACTTCCACAAAGAATATATAAAATTCCACATTGAGAAAAAGGTATGAATGCCACACCATGTGACAATCTTAATTTTTTTATTGAGTACTGTGTTTATTGAATGTATTGAATCGTCAGCAAGCTTATTAGCTACCCTAGAATCATATTTTTTCGCTCTCTATTCTAATCTACAAAATAAAATTAAAATTACAACCCATTCTTTTTACTCAAGACAACTTCAGTCCTTCTGAATCTATTAGAACATTATTACTGCTTTTGTTTTCTATTTTCTGTTCTGATTCAACATGTAAGAAAATTATTTGTGCTTCAAAGTAAAACCTGAGGTAAAAATATTTTGCAACAATGACTTCTCTAATTTCCAAAGTACTTTCATTGCCTCATTTCCTCTTTATACTATCTGTGGTGGCTTTATTTTCTATTCTTTCAGTATTCAGTTTACAGAATAGTCAGTTTATTCTTATTAACTGAGGGAGACAGAGCTATATAATTCAGAATAAGGAAAGAAAAATTTTTTAACTCTTCAATTTTGAAAGGTGGTTTTATGATTTTACTTGAATAGGGGTGTGTCTGGTATTTGGGGAATTTCCTTCGAGCAAAATGATGAAGCAATGAGGCCATACTATTAAAATCTAACTTAAGATGAGCTGGAAATATGTCCTGTTTCCGCGTCCGGAAACTTGTTGATCTCTTCACTAAAGTCCAGCCCACTCCAGGGACTGCAGCAAGGTCTGCTCTGGAGCAGTGGTGATGGCTAAGTGGTCTGGCTTCAAGGGCGGTCTCTGCCAAACATTAAACAGAGAGACTTGAAATACCAACCGGGTGGCACAGATCAGCTGTAGTTGAGTAGATTCTGTTTACTTGAAAACAAGATTAGCCACAGATAAGGAAATTTAAATAGTCTAGAGTTGACTCCTCACACGCTGCACTATTTATATATTGCTTTGTAACAGTAAATCTGTCTCTACAATTAAAATGTAAATATACTAAAGGCTTAGATTCATTTCTAACCTTTAAAGGTGAATTAGTGTACAATGCACCTGTTACACTTCTAAATCTTGGATCAGAGTTTTTAAAAAAGAAAGAAAAACTTTAACTTCAATTTAAGACTGTCAGAAATTAACATTTGAAAGGCTTAAAAAAAATCCGGCATTGGATTACTTAAAGGGAAGGTTCTTTTGTCTAACCATACCTCTACCATATAATGAAATAAAACGAGTAAAACCAAGGATAAAAATTAACAGTGCTGATGCCCCAATACCTTTCCATCAACAGGAACACCCAGTTCCTCTGAAAACAGCGGGTGAGTTATCCATTTGTAGGCTTCTTTTAGCTGAACTACGTCATTTCTTCCCAGCGACAGATTCTGCTTTCTGAATAACAAAAATTAATTCACTGATATGAAAAACTTCACTTCTTCTACTAAAAGCAAGAAATTATGCAATTATTTAAAAATATCTACCAACCACCTACTATGTCCCAGGCACTATTTTACACATTAGCTAAAAAGTAGAAAACAAAGCAGACAAAAATTCATGAAGTCATGAACCTTATATTCTAGCAAAATCAAGAAACTGTTTTTTAAAATGGCATATAAGATAGTTTACAAAGTTCCAAATACAGAAAGCATACTAATGAGTTTTTCTGAATTAGAATTGCCAGATTCCAGAATTTATAAAACACATCAGAATGCAGAAAGGTGGGACAGAGATTATTTATTGTTCAGAAACTACAAAACTGTATGTTACAATATCCAGACCGAAATTGTTTACATCTATTCTCTTCCTGATAATGAAACTTACTTTTGGGAAATCAGTGTAAAACCTGTACTTTTCTTTACTTCTGAAGAAATATTAAATCCTGAAGTATCAATGCTCTGAAATGCTCATCAACTTAATATCAGATAAATGTCTGAATAAAAATCTGACATTCCCCCCATATCTACTGAGCCAGTAGATAGGTTTAGGGAAGTCCCAATTATGACTTCTAGCTTTTAGTTTGCAACCTAAAGCGTGACAGAAAGGAACTGAGGTAAGAGGAAAGAAAAACATGATATGATAGTATTAAAACTGCTCTACTCTGCTGAGAACACTGCAGTATCAATAATAAACTAACAAGCCCATATCATTCATATAATTAAAATTTCAAATCAGTCTTATAGCTATTCACAGGGCTACTTTTAACAAGAGATATTAAGAGCCAACTTGTGACTCATTTCTTTAAATGTCTAATTTTCACTGCTAGAAATGACTACTTAGAGTCAACATCCATTATAATTTAATTCTTCAAGACCAAAAGAAAATACTAAACAAAGGTTGAAAACAAGAAAGTAATTTAGCTAATGGCGAAATTTAATTGATCTTTAAAAACAAATATATAAAGACCATTGTTCCTTTAAAAATGCAAATTAAGAAAGAGTTTATCTAACTCATTCTTATCCACCTGGGAATGTAACTGGTTACAAGGAATGCTTTCATATGGTTTGGTACTGTGGTTTAACAATGAAATACCCAGATAAGCCCTACCTCAGAAAACTAATCAAATTACTTCTCTACATTACAGAACTTATTCAAACACAAAGTGTTTGAGCTTCATAAACTGTTCCTAATTCCCTAAAAATCAGAAATATTTTAGGTATTTGAAAAGACAATCTTGATATGGAATCAATAAAAAGCATCACGACTGAAAGGTAAAAATTAGTAAATGAGAATACATTTTAAAGGATAAAAAGTTGAAACAGAGGATACAAGAATAGAAAACTATTTAAAAACTGATTATATCCTAGAGTACAAAGGGCTGCAGAAAAAGCTAATCCTAAAGATGGGCTAAAACATTACTCATTATGTATTTAAGAAAGCTTGTATTTTTTAAAATCCTCATCCAAGGATAGTTTTACTGATTTTTTTTTTAAAGAGAGAGAAACTCGGCAGGCGGCGTTGGGAGGAGAGGGAGAGAAAGAGAGAAGGAGAGAAATGAGAGAGAAACATGGATCAATCGGTTGCCTGCTGTACACGTCCCAACTGGGGATCAAACACGCAACCTAAGGTATGTGCCCTGACTGGGGATCAAACACACAACCTTTTGGTGTATGGGACAAGGCTCCAACCAAATGAGCCAGCTGGCCAGTGCAGAAAACTGGTATTTTTAATCCTTCATAGTCTTTGAAGTATATTTAGAGTTTCTCAGTCCAGTTTAAAATAAATTAAATTAAATTAAACGAAAAACCCTTAAACTATATGTATTTTTTTCCTTCTGGTTTAAAGAACTAGGGGAAAGGGTTAACACATCTTGGAAACCTTAACCTTATATATAAGGAAAAAATACAATACTTAAAGTGCCAGATTTTCGATCCTGCAAGTTGAATGTGGCTGGTAACTTTTCTAGTATAACTTAGGGTAAATGTTTTCACAGAGGTCCCTAGCATATCCTGATGGTCCTTTAGAGGAATTAGTAGTCATTAAGGTAAATTCAGTCTCAATTTAGTACTTAGTAACTGCCTTTCCCTCCCTTGTCAGGTAACTGCTAATGGGGATGTCCACTGCAATCACTGTTGCTATAGATACAACATGACTACCAACTAGAGCAAAGATGAACGAAAATATCCAACACAATTTTTAATGAATTCCTCGAATTAATTATTTAATGGTAATTCTTTCACAATCTTTTGAATGTAAAATGACCTAGGGACACTGAAGATAAAGATTAATGTTCTTTTTATATTTTTGTTGTTCCTATATCCCTATATTGAATATTGAACAAGATCTTTGTGAAGAACTAATAAAGCTTAGTTTAAAACCCTTCAATAAAGAATAACAACAGCAACTCACAAGCAATGTGGATGGAAAATGAAAAATTCAGAAGATACCGTATTAACAGTGACCAGAGGGGAGGCTGGATAATGGGGGAAAGAAGGGGAAGGGTCAAGTCAGGGAATATGTATAAAGGACCCACGACCAAGGACAACAGGAGGGAGGATTAAATGTGGGAGAGGTGGGATGGGCATGGCAGGGGAGAGCAATGGGGGGAAAAATGAGGACAACTGTGATTCAACAGCAATAAAAAATTTTTTTAAATAATAATAAAACATGAAATACTTGACTATTTAGTCAGGGGCACTGACCTCTTTTCCGTTAGATGTCAAATTAAAAAAATAACAATAACAGTAAACACACACACACAGAAAATACTATGTTCTATACACTAAAAAATGTCTCAAATATAATATCAAATTGTATTATGCCAGAATCACAAGCACTTGAGACTAACCTAACTAAACTCCAAAACCTTGAATAAGCATGTGGTTATTGCCGCCCTTAAAATGCAGATGTGAAATATAAAACAAACTAAAACCCCCAAAAAAGTGATTAAGTGATCACCTTTTAAAATAAATCACTTAACCAAATACTAGATTTTAATACAGACATCTATGCTTCTCTCTGATTTTTTCTCTCCAGTGCACCCAGGAACCTCCAGGAGGCACATGGTCTTTCTTCAAACTGGTAGAGAAATTTCAGTTTTAAAATCCAAAAAGCTCTGGACAATTAAGCATTTTTTTCTTAGCTCAGTTGGCAACCAAACTCTGACTTGAACACGTGAGACTGTTTAGAGACTTTGTTTATTAAACTTAGTTTCCAAAATCAGTATAAAATTTACTCTTTTAAAATAACTTGCCAAACTACATTATATAAGTGACCAACAAATATAAAGTATGTATTTATATTAATGTTAAATCTACAAAAAAATGAATCTTTTCATAGACTGCTAACATGCTATGCAAATAAACTAATTCAGCAAGGCTGACACCTAAATTTGTACTATAAAAATTTTCTTTGTGCCAATTTCTCTAGTAGCCAGTGAACTCACTCTAAAAAAGTAGATAGTAGTAGTAAAAGTACTTTAAGAATCAGGTAGATTATATTTAAATGGTGGTAAAAATTCCCTACCTAAATTACTTACCCCATTTCCTGTTTTACCAGCAACCATGCAGCATGCTGTAGGCAATTTAGTCACACCCAGAAACAAGAGAAAAGGGAAAAAATGTTTATTGAAATGAAGTTCCAATATCATTACTAAAGTGCTTAACTAATTTGCTAATCAAACTCCCCTTTTTGGGTGAGAAGTTAGTGTTCCGAAATGTGGCAGTGACCTCAGCCTCATTTACAATCAGAAATGAAGTTAAGATGTCACTCTGCAACAGTGACTTGCTGTGGCCTAGGAATTCAACAGGGGTATCCCCCACCTCCCTACAGATTTCTATTTCTCATTAATGAGGTACAAGTGTTTTTTAACATGAGTAGCTTACATTTTTTCTCAAAATATCTTATTATTTCATAGGGAAAAGCCCAAAGTAACTGAGTACCTACTATGTTCCTAAAACACAGACTTGAAGGCTTAGCTTTGTTTTTATCTTTTAAGAGGGACAACACATTTTTAACTATATCTAATTAATAACACATGTAAAGTGTTTACAAGTAAAAGGTACATTTAATGTCTGGCACTCAATCCACTGAGCCACACCAGCCAGGGCTGTACCTCACTTTGGAATACAACAAAAACTAAGGTAGGTGGTAATAAACTGATGGCTAGATATATAATAAAGCAAATATAGAAGAAGAGTAACAACTGTAGAATCTAGGTGGGAATATGGGTGTTCACTGGACCATTCTTTCAGCTTTACTATATTTTTGAAATTTCTCATAATAAAATGTTAGGGAGAATGTTCTGGGAATGACTAATAAAACAACTGAGAAAATTGCTAAAATGAAGAAATAACATTCACAATCATAGTCATGATGCGGATTAAATAAAGTTCAGGAAAAATGCTTTGCACAGTAAGCATGTGATACTAGGATTTCCCAGTGTGCCATCAGACTCCCGTAGCTTTCACCTTGAAGAAAGGTTATGACATGTTCTGCCTCAGTATGCAGCATTCTGTGCAGGTGACAGAAGAATACATGTGTAAGTCCATAAAATACCACATATTGTCTCTATCACTGGCCAGTCATTATTACTCACATCCATCTCAAAACCTAGTTACATCTCTCTGTCTGTCTATCTACTGGGGTGGCCAAAAAGTTCATTTAGTATTTTCCGTACAATGGCTCTCCAAGCCATTACTACATGAAATGTTAAAGGGATATATTTAAGAAAAAGAAGATCAAAACTATGACCATTAAAAAGGCAACAAATTCACAACTATCAACTGAATCTTAAAAAACAAACTAAGCAACCAGAACAGGAACAGAATTATAGGTATGGAGATCATTTGGAGGGTTATCAGCTTGAAGAGGAAAGGGAGAGAATGAGGGAAAAGGTGCAGGGATAAGAAGCATAACTGGTAGGTACAAAATAGACAGGGAGATGTCAAGAACAGTATAGGAAATGAAGAAGCCAAAGAACTTATATTAACAACCCATGGACATGAACTAAGGAAGGAGACTGCTGGAAGGAAGCAGGGCACTGGGCACAGGGGGACACAAGGGGAAAAATTGGGACAACTGTAATAGCATAATCAATAAAATATATTTTTTTAAAAGAAAGTCTATGGGCATGGTATAATGTACAAACTACTAGCACTCAGAAGACCTGGCTTTGGTATTTCCTAAATTTCCCCATTCAATTCCTAATGTGTAAAAATGAGAGAACTAGACAAAGTTAATTACAATTTAAAATTTTCTGAATGGCTAAAATTTATCATTATCAAGCTTCAGTTAGTATACTGTTTTATAATAATCTATTAAGATTTGCAGTACTTAGAGATCATTAAAAAAAAAAGAGCAATTATCCTAAAGCTGAAACCTTGTAGTCAATGCTGCCCACCTTCCTTCAGCCTCTATACTTTAAAAAATCAATAAATACGGGTTTCCCCACCTATAACAGGATAGTAATACTCCCCGTGCAGGAATATCGTAAGGATTTAAAGAAACTGTGTATGTGAGGAACTGAGTAAGACTCCTGGCATATACTTAATAAATGATATAACTATTGTTGTTTTTAAATTAAAACCTTACCTGCAATTCACAAATAATAAAATTATTATCCCTTAAAAGATTGACAAGATTTGAGCTCTTTTTCTCAGACCCCACACTACTCTACTATAGGTAGTTCTGGAACCTCCCTCATCAATGAAATCCTCTTGAGTCTCTGAGCTACAGAGAAGCATCTTATCTGTCCCCTGTGTTCTTTTTCAGTAACCTGTTTCTCCCCTCTTTTGAGGCAAACTCTGTTCTCTACAGCCACTTCCAGGTGAGGCCACCAAGTATGCAATGTTTACTGTCATCCTCCAGTTATAAATTCGGGCCAAACTGGAGGTTGCCAAGGGAAACCGGATTACCATTTGTAACGCGTAAAATTAAATCAAATCTCTTCAGTACCTGAGATGTGCTAAAGGGTTTTTCCTTCCTGATCCTCTGCGGGCTCCCTGCTCAAGCCCGCCAGGACCTAATCACACAGCAGGGGCTGGTGGGCTGAATCCCAAAGAAGTCGGTGTTGCTCAATTATTCCATTTTTACCACATGCCAGCAATGCCCTAAACCTGCTTCTTCTGAGGAAAAAGAAGTTCTCCCTTTTAGGTCACCAACATAATTTTAAATTTATAAATCATCTATTCTGTAGTCAACAGGAAAGCTTCATTCCCCAGGGTAAGCAATTTAATTCCTCCCCCTCAAAAAAGTCAAATGTCATTAAAATTATCAAGTTTAATCAAATTTGATACCAAAGGCATTTCCAGGAGTATATCACCTCCTGAAAATTCAAGAACCACACAATTTAATCTTGGACTGTGCTTTAAACTAAGCAAGTTCAAATTGGGACACTCGAATAATATGCTTGTAAAGTGCTTGTGTACTCTGGATACCCCCACACACACCCCATGGCAAGTCTATGCCTTCCAACTTAGAGGTCTGAGGTGAGAGTTCATCCAGCACCGAACAATGAGAGTGGGCGATGGAGGCCAGAGACCGAGGCTGATTCAAGCACAGGTGGCAGGAAGGAAGAAGAGAGGGAGAAAGAGAGGGATTAAAAATGGTATGTTGGGGAACCACAGTTTTAGTCAAGTTGGAGCTTAGGGTATGTATATGTGTACATAAATGTGAGTAAGGGGTTCAACCGCTAGAAACAAAACTGGAAAGATCAGCAGATTTTGAGTGCTAAGCTAGAGCATGAATCCAAAGACTGAAACTATAACATGAGAAATGCCACATTTATCTATCTACAAAGTCCCATAGCACCACGAAGAAGAAAAATACTAATCTATAATTCATCAAGTCACAATATAACTATCACCTCCACACTATTGGGGTTTTTTGTTTTGTTTTGTTTTTTAGATTTAAAGTCAATAATTTTTTTTTACTGTACTTTAAAAAATATTGTATTTATTTATTTCAGACAGGGAAGGGAGAGAAACATCAATGTGTGGTTGCTTCTCATGCACCCCCTACTGGGGACCTGGCCTGCAACACAAGCATATGCCCTGATTAGGAATCAAACCAGCAACCCTTTGGTTCACAGGCTGGTGCTCAATCCACTGAGCCACACCAGCCAGGGCTCTTTATCACTATTTTTTTTTCATGAGGTGACTTAAGAGGAAAATAAAATATTTCTCATACCAAAATATTTCTTCAACATAGAAAATATAGTGTAAAAAAGGCATATGTTCCAGAAAAATGACAGAATATTATTGAGAAAGTCCACTTTTCTCATATATGTTACTTATCTGGCCCTTATAGACACCCGAGTCTATAATTCCTGAGAGAGGGAAACAAACACTAGACTAAGAGGCAAGCCCTGCCTCTAAATACTGTGTGATTACCTGCAAGGTGGTTTATCTCTCTGCACCTTGGTTTCTCAACTATCACATAGAAGGGCTCTACACTTCATTATTTTGGGGGCACCACCTATGTGTTGAGATCTTTACTGAGAACACAGAGTCTCTGCCCATAGGGAATCCATTATCTATCAATAGGAGAGACTAAAGGGAATAAAGTGATAATAAAAGTTAATAATAACAATATTGATAAAAATAATAAAACTACATAACAGTGGTGGCCATGACAGGGATATACTTAGAGGGAACATGTAAGTCGTCCTCAGCTCAGTCTTGTAGGGGAAGAGACACCTAATCCGATCTCTAAAATTACTTAGAATTAACGGGGTAAATAATGGGGAAAGGATGTTCCTAAGAAAGAAAACTCTACGGTGCAAAAACCAGAGGGGGTCAGGAAAGTTCTGGCGACTGTAAGTCAATGGTCTCCAAAGAGCTGAGGGCATGTGGCTGGGGGGGGTACAAAGCAGGGCACAGGCCACAGATCATGGAACTACTGCCCCTGTGCTAAGGGGTTTAGATTTTACACTTACGGTGATGTGGTGCTACAGAAGGATTTTAAGCAATGGAATGGCATATCCATATTTGTCTTCAGGATGCTCACCCTGTTTGCGTGTGAATTAGAGGAGGAAGGTACATAATAAGGGAAATGAACACACGTAGTCAACTAAAGAAGTAATTCAAGCAAGAAATAGTATATTACAGCAGTGCTGCTGGGGACGGAGAAGAGTAGGCAGCTTCAAGTGATAATGAAGACACAAAGAAAACTTGGTGATTAGCAGTGACGTTGCAGTGGGTTTCTAAATTACTATTAATGCCCTTAAAACTCCAAAGTCTTTTAAATCCTACACATCTCTTGGTCTCATTAATAATAACAAAGACAGTACAATAACAAAGACAGACTTTTACCAATAGGGAAATGACAATAATTGTTGGAGCAGCTAGAGGTATATATTACCTGCCGCTCCCTGTTCTTCCTACACATACACTGCATACATATACACATTTATGTATTTTTCTTGCACACAAATAGCCAGTTGGGAAATAGGCTTTATAACAAGGGAAGTAACAATAGAAACTCTTCTCCCTTCTTCTCGGCCAGCATAACTGCCTGAGATTTCCTTTTTCTCCTCCTCCCCCCCACTCTCCAGTCTGCTACAAGCTTGAACA